GCCGTGTTGTAGTCGGGGTCGAACACGAGGAGGAAGTGTTCTCGCTTAACACCTTGTGAGATTGGTTTGTAGCTAGCTCGCAATATGAGGTGGTTTTGGACCTAGAATGAGAAAAAACAAAAGAAATGTGAGTGAGTTGTAAACAATTTAAAACAAGAGTTAGGCAAAGGACAATCATATGGAGCAATGATGAAAAGATAGTTGCATGGGATGTGTGTAGAGCCGTCTTGAACATGAATCACTAGTGTATGGTCTTTCCACTGTCGTGGCTCCAACCACTATGTTTAAAACAACCTAATATACTCAGCTTTCGTTGGCTATTAGAATTGCAAACATGCATTAAAGGTGATCAAGATTCAATTGTTCACAATAAACCATAACTCAGCTTTCGTTGGCTATGATCTATTGCTCACCAAATACTAGTTTTGAGATCTAGATTCAGCACTGTCGTGGTTCTATTTCTCTAAGATCAGATTACTAGATGTACGGTAGAGTAATCATGCATTAAGCTCAAGTAAAGGTGAAGATCCATAAGATAAATCCCAATAAGTTGCAACACAATCAAATCATCACGGCCACCATAGATCTCCTCGGCCTAACTAAGAGATCTACTCGGCCATGATGCAAACAAGCAAGCAAAGCATGATTGTAAACATTATGCAAGTATTAAAAGAGATAAAGGGATGAAGAAAGCTTCTCTATTGATGAACAAAGTCGGATTCTCCCTTGAAAACTCTTAAGATCAAGTTTATAGAAATGGAAACAATGAAAAAGAAAGAACAAGAGTTGAGCGGCGCCTCCTTCTTCTTGGACGATCTCCTAGGGCTTCTCTCCTCTGAACTCTCTTCTCACACGTACACTCTTTGATAATTTTCGGACTCTCTTCTTCAGCGGCTAAAAACATGTATATATGGGCGAAGTCGCGTAGGGTTTTCTTCATGCCGGAAAAGGAAAGTTTCCCGTGAGCAAAGCCTTCTTCTCCACGTCGTGTATGGGCCGACATTGTACCAAGGAAAGCTCCAAACATTAGCCAGGCCTCTTCTCTATTCGATCAAGGCCTTTGGCGCTGCTGCTCGGGCCATTAGACACTCCAAATCCTCCATGGGCTTCGTTTACTCGCTTACCGGACATGTCTCGGTAGAAAATAAGTCTAGGCCTCATAGTTGATCCAAATGGCTTCATTCCACTTCGACGTGATGCATGACTCAAGTATCTATCTTTCCATATCAAGATCGTAACTTTTGGACGTCGGGAACTCCTCCGCGCGCGGCCAAACTTCCGAAGCTTCGTTCTGCGCGCTAGCGAGAACTAACACTTGGAGATAAAATGATCTTCTTGACTTGGAAACTTGCATGGATCTTGATTTAGGGCTCTTTTACTCCTTTTTGCATCCTTTTTGATTATTTCACCTACAAAGACTTCAAATCCCACAAATACAAGAAAACTACCTCTAAAGGCAAAGAATCTTGCAAAAACCGTTTGAAAACATAGTATTATATAGTAAAATCATGTAAAATATGGTGATATCAGCGCCCTTAATGGGGTTTTAGGGTTTTGGAGAAGAAAGAGAGGTTCTTGTGGTTTTCAAGGGAAAGGTAAAGTAAATAAGATCTAGAAGCAAGCAATGATCAATGAAACAATGATAGATGAATTGATTAGGGATATTGGGATATTAAGAACCATCTAGAACACAGATCACGAATATAAAACCATTCCACTTTCGAGGCTCCGGCTCCTTTGTTAATCTACCTAGTCGCTAAACTTTTGGTATGTCCCTAGGTGATTAAATCAAGCTTTAGAATGAATAGGTTCTGATACAGTTCACTAGATTATAGTAGATCAACTTTCGCAGTCTAAGAAACCTAGCTTGTCAAAGAATATGTCCGGCGAATGATACAGCACTGTCGAGGCTCAAATCAACCTAAGATCGGATTACTAGATGCGCGGTAAAGCAATCAGCATTAGTTAAGTGCACAAGACGAGACAAAGACTCTAATATAATCCCTAGCTAATCATTGAAATCAAAGATCATGCAAGCAACTCATTGAATAGTAACCCTAGCAACCTAACTAGTGGATTACTCAGACATGATCAAAGCAAACACACATAGAGATGAAGAAAACATGATTGCAATAAAACTTAGAGTAGGAAATCGAAATACAAGGCGGCTCTCTTTTCACAAGAGGCTAAAAAGCTATATATATAGTGCTAGGTCTTTTGAGGCGGCTTAGGGTTAAGCCGGGCCTTGAAAATATGAAATGGGCTTCAAAACGGGCTTCGGGTCGACCGCGGCGTTGGGACGGTCGGTCGGGACGATCGGCCGGACAGTCGGGTCGTGGGCGAGTCGGAACGGTCGTGGCCGGATGATTCACGGTCGGCCGGCGTGGTCGGACGGGGATGAGATTTGGCCGATGGTTTCTCGGCCGGACGTGGGACGTTTTCCCGGCTCGGACGGATGCATCGGCCGTGGTACGCAAGGGTTGCGCGGCCGCGAGGCTTGTTCCCGGCTCGCGCGGCATGGTCGTGCGCGGCGTGGCGTGGAGGTTGTGGCTTGGCCGACCGCGGGATGTTTCCCGGGTCGTGATGCGTGATCGGCCGGTCGGTTTGGAACTTTGGCCGAGACTTCAGACGGACGGATGTGATTTGGCCGAGCGGAAACAATCGTTTCCTCGGCCAGCCGGACTGCGCGGTTGGGCGCTGATTCTCGATAGAGCCGTCTGGAGCAGTCTTCACTCTTTTGGTTATAACTCCTTTTCTACTCATCCAAATAGGCCATTCCAGTTGCGTTGGAAAGTTAACTCAATCAGAGCACGCAGGGAACTGGTCTTGATGAAATCCATTGAGTAGATCTTTTTCTGGGCCCTCTTAAAGTTGGTGCTTGTGCATGGAGCGGCTTGAAGTGCAAATCCTATGGTTTTGCTCCAAAATGCATCATTTCACCTGTTTAGACTCTAGACACTATAAACACAGTAAAACTACCTTTTTAGATAGAAAACAATGCTAAAACAATATAAAAAGCATGTAAAATAGAGGTATATCATTTATGCTTAATCTCTATTGCTTATGTTCTTAATCTAGAAATCTCTCTCTTTTCGACAAACCTTAAGGCTACATGACCACTACCCCTAGCTTTTATGTTCATAGGCAATTTTCCACATGGAAGTGTTGGGAAATCGCTTGAAAAGGTCCACTAAGAGCTCCAATAAACCTTGCTCTCGAAATGAAGTTCATAGGTGTTGGATGGATTAGTTTGAGCAATGATCCTACTGCCTCCAAGGCTTGACTCTCACTGGCTAACCCCCTGTTTCTGAGATCATGTCTTGGATGATAGCTTTCACCTTGGGAAAGGGCTAGCTAGGCATTGAGAGGCTCAATATCAAGAGATACCTTGATTCAAGTTGTCTAAAGAGCAAGATTGATTAAGTATAGTCTTCCTCTAGTTGTAAGACCCTGTCTTAGACCCTAATATTCGCATTAGCTTTTTAAAGTTCCTGCCTTTATCTCTTTTTACGCTAACTCGACCGAGCTTGGTTACTCTGTTCCCACTCGAACGAGTCCTTGGTCGAGCTGCTTGCTTTACTGCTTTCTTTCGTTTATTGCACTACATTTCATTTCCTTAGGTTGTTTAGTTGTTACATCCCTCCTTTTAATCATTTGGCTTGACTTTCTTGTGATTGCATAAGTTCATAGAGTAACATTTCTCCCTTATGGATTGATACCCTTTATACTTCAATGACTATGATGGTTAAGGGGAATTGATTGATTGTGATTGTGTTTTGCACCATACCATCCCATCTTCTTTACCACTGTTGCATTCCACCTCATTTCATATTTACATTCATATCATCACATCACACACATAAAATCCTATCATCAATTTGCACTTGCTTATTTCAATAAAAGTTCTTTAGTTTCATCTCCTATATCTTTCCACGTCGATTTCATTTCATTTGATTGTGTATTCCTTCATGTGTAGTGAGTAGTCCCATTTAGGGTTTAAGATGGGCTAGATTAGAGGATCCTTATGCTTAATCTTTATTGCTTGTGGTCTTAATCTAGAAATCTCTCTCTTTTGGACTAAGCTTAAGGCTACACAACCACTGACCAAGGTGTGTATGAGTCTAGGCGATTTTCCTCATGGGAATGAGTGGAAATCGCTTGATCAAGTCCACTTAGAGCTCCAATAAACCTTGCTCTCGAAATGGAGTTCATAGGTGTTGGATGGGTTAGTTTGAGCAATGATCTTACTGCCTCCAAGGCTTGATTCTCACTGGCTGACCCCGTGTTTCTGAGATCTTTCCTTGGATGATAGCTTTCACTTTGGGAAAGGGCTAGCTAGGCTTGAGAGGATCAATGCCAAGAGATAGCTTGATACAAGTTGTTTAATAGCAAGATTGATTAAGTATAGTCTTCCCCTAGTTGTAAGACCCCGTCTTAGACCCTAACATTCGCATTAGCTTCTTAAAGTTCTTACCTTTATCGCTTTTACTCTGTTTTTACGTCCACTCGACCCTCAACTCGATCGAGCCTAGTTACTCTGTTCTACTCGATCGAACCCTCGGTCGAGCTGCTTCCTTTACTGCTTTCATTACTGCTTTCTTTTACTTTCTGCATTGCATTTCATTCCAGTAGGTTATTTAGTTATTGCATCCCCCTTTATTGTACTGCTTGACTTTCTTGTGTTTGCACAGATTCAAAGAGCAACATCTCACCCTTTTGGATTGATAACCTCTTATACTACATCGACTATGATGGTTAAGAGGAATTGAATGATTGTGATTGCAACATACCATCTCATCTTTTATTCACCCCTGTTTGCATTCCACCTCATATCATTCATATCATTTCACATCACCCACACAAAATCCTATCATCAATTTGGCACCGTTGCCATTTGGGTTTGAATGTTGTTGCATTTGAGTTTCCAAAACACTTGGACGATCAAGCTATCCCACCTCTGTTATTTGTATTGCTGGGTTTTTGATTCATTTTGCAGGTGCATGCGAACTCGATCGAGTCGAACAACTGAAGACTTGGTCGAGCTAGATTTCACCACGGGTAGAAAGAGAAGTCTAAGAACTCAGAGGGTACAAGCAGAACCAGAGGTGGTTGTTACTGAAACCTTGGATGTACCAGAGGGTAATGGAATCCGTTTGGGAAATGGACTCGGTCGAGCTAGGCAACCTCGACCGATTGGTCTAGGAGATGCTCCAAACCGCCATCAACAAAGACAAGGGTTTGTCCCACATCCTGTCCAGAACCAGGTTCGGAAAGCCACGCACCGCGTTCGACCGAGAAACATCAGCCAACCCTTCACTCGGCCGACCACGAATCCGTCCGGCCACGACCGTTCCGATCGTACTAAGAGCGGCCATGACCCGATTGTCCGGCCGATCGTCCCGACCGACCGTCCGAACGCCGCGGTCGACCCAAAGCCCGTTTTGAAGCCCGTTTCACGTATTTTCACGGCCCGGCTTAACCCTAAGCCGCCTCTGAAGACCTAGCACTATATATATACTTTTTAGCCTCTTGTGAAAGAGAGCCGCCCTTGTATCACGATTTCATACTTAAGTTTTATTGCAATCATGTTTTCTTCATCTTTATGTGTTATTGCTTTGATCATGTCTGAGTAATCCACTAGTTAGGTTGCTAGGGTTACTATTCAATGAGTTGCTTGCATGATCTTTGATTTCGATGTTTAGCTAGGGATTATCATAGAGTCTTTGTCTCGTCTTGTGCACTTAACTAATGCTGATTGCTTTACCGCGCATCTAGTAATCCGATCTTAGGTTGATTTGAGCCTCGACAGTGTTGTATCATTCGCCGGACATATTCTTTGGACAAGCTAGGTTTCTTAGACTGCGAAAGTTGATCTACTATAATCTAGTGAACTGTATCAGAACCTATTCATTCTAAAGCTTGATTTAATCACCTAGGGACATACCAAAAGTTTAGCGACTAGGTAGATTAACAAAGGAGCCGGAGCCTCGAAAGTGGAATGGTTTTATATTCGTGATCTGTGTTCTAGACGGTTCTTAATATCCCAACATCCCTAATCAATTCATCTATCATTGTTTCATTGATCATTGCTTGCTTCTCTGCGATTAGCCCCTGTTGACCTAGCGCTTCTTCCTTATTGATTTACAACCTCGTTTACTTGCTAGTTCTGTTCACCATTACAACCTCAATCATACTTTTGTTTTAGCTTGATCCAAAATCCATAGTTTCAAAGTGTACTCAATAGCCAGTCCTTGTGTTCGATACCCATACTTCCGCGATCTGTGCACTTGCAGAGGTCTAAGAGTTTGGTAAAACCTGACTCAACATCAAGTTTTTGGCGCCGTTGTCGGGGACTGCAGCAGTACCTTTAAAGCTCAACTAGGATCTAGTCTAGAATTTCCTTTTGTTTTGCTTGCTTTTGCTTTTGAAGTTTTAGTTTTTGATTTCTTTTACTTTGGTTTTTGCTTTTACTTTTGTTTTTTCCTTTTGATTTAGTTTGTTTCCTAGATTCTTTTCAGGTGCATGACTAGGAGGTCTAACAAAGACAACCTAGTTGAACATCCAGAGAAAGACAAGCTCGAGAAGTTACTTAGGAAGCAAAAAGCCCAAGAGATGGCCGACGAAGCAGCACGCACTCACGCCATTGAAGTAGCCCGCGCTAATGAAGAAGGAAGAGATCAGCCTCCTCCTCCTCCTAATCCACAAGATCCTGCTGGGGACATCAATTTGCAACCTCAAGCAGACATCCAAACAATCGGAGACTATGACTCTGCCGATGCATTCTTCACGGATAGAAACCCTATCCAACCACCACTTCCTGCAAGGAATGACTATGAGCTCAAGCCTCAGATCATAGCATTTGTGATATGATTATTGTGGGTAGCAAAAATATGATGATAAGGTCATTAAACCAGCAGCTGAATCAGAGCTCAATCAAACCGGATGCAAGACTTCAACAAGACCCGAAAGGACATGTGTTCACTGTTCGATGCGTAACTTCTCAACAACGACGATTCAACAAACGAAATTACTTGGAGATTGTACTCAGCTCGATTCCAGAACATCTCAAAGAATAATCATCGTAATAGGAGTTGAAACGAAGGAGTTATTCAATTTACAAACCAGGTGATTTCCGGTTTACTCGATTTTGACCTATGTGCATTCAATGAAGGATTCCGACCAGGCCAGAACAAGTTAAGCTACAAACCAAGTCATTCTACAAACTAGATCCATCAGAGAAGCCCATGAAGTTGGATTCAGCCCAAAAGCTATCAAGGAAGATCATATTTCGAGTCTCAACAAAGACCACATTTAATGATGTCTATTTCTCTCTCTTACATGCAGATTTGAGTCAAACTTCATTTCTCTAGGTGCTCTGCATGTTAAGCTCTTAGTTATGACGAAAATGAGTTGTAATTCTCTATAAATAGAGCTCAAAATCATGAATAAAAATAAGTTTGTTTTCAGTAAAAATCAGAGAAGTTTCTCTCCTTCAAGATGTGATGTCTTGTTATTTTTGGAACTCCATGTTCATAGTGTGTCATATCTATGTTCCTGGCTGTTTAAGACTTATCGGAGATCCTTTCACAGATCTTTGTGGCGTCTCACAATCCATCTCTATCCATTCCTTGTTGGTGTGTCATATCCAGCAAGCTGTCGATCCCCTTTGGTGTGTAATATCCAGAGAATCGATCCGCCAGTATATGAGGAGCCTTCCGCAGCTTCTGTTCAGCCATTCAATCCACATATCCTTGTTCTTCGTGGCTTCCAAGCCTGTTGAATGAAGGCTTATCCCTTTTACCAACTCTAGAGTGCCGACCCCTTGGGAATAGTTTATCATTTGGTATCAGAGCACACTCCTGGGTTTGGTTTTCTTTCTATTTTCTTTTTCTCACCTCTTCATCTTCTTTTAGTTTATTTTCAATAAAGAGCAAGATTTGAGGGCAAATCTTTTTTTAAGAGAGGGAGTATGATATGATTATTGAGGGTAGCAAAAATATGATGATAAGGTCATTAAACCAGCAGCTGAATCAGAGCTCAATCAAACCGGATGCAAGACTTCAACAAGACCCGAAAGGACATTTGTTCACTGTTCGATGCGTAACTTCTCAACCATGACGATTCAACAAACGAAATTACTTGGAGATTGTACTCAGCTCGATTCCAGAACATCTCAAAGAATAATCATCGTAATAGGAGTTGAAACGAAGGAGTTATTCAATTTACAAATCAGGTGATTTCCGGTTTACTCGATTTTGACCTATGTGCATTCAATGAAGGATTCCGACCAGGCCAGAACGAGTTAAGCTACAAACCAAGTCATTCTACAAACTAGATCCATCAGAGAAGCCCATGAAGTTGGATTCAGCCCAAAAGCTATCAAGGAAGATCATATTTCGAGTCTCAACAAAGACCACATTTAATGATGTCTATTTCTCTCTCTTACATGCAGATTTGAGTCAAACTTCATTTCTCTAGGTGCTCTGCATGTTAAGCTCTTAGTTATGACGAAAATGAGTTGTAATTCTCTATAAATAGAGCTCAAAATCATGAATAAAAATAACTTTGTTTTCAGTAAAAATCAGAGAAGTTTCTCTCCTTCAAGATGTGATGTCTTGTTATTTTTGGAACTCCATGTTCATAGTGTGTCATATCTATGTTCCTGGCTGTTTAAGACTTATCAGAGATCCTTTCACAGATCTTTGTGGCGTCTCACAATCCATCTCTATCCATTCCTTGTTGGTGTGTCATATCCAGCAAGCTGTCGATCCCCTTTGGTATGTAATATCCAGAGAATCGATCCGCCGGTATATCAGGAGCCTTCCGCAGCTTCTGTTCAGCCATTCAATACACATATCCTTGTTCTTCGTGGATTCCCAGCCTGTTGAATGAAGGCTTATCCCTTTTACCAACTCTAGAGTGCCGACCCCTTGGGAAGAGTTTATCAGTTGGTTAGACAGAACCAATTCAATGGCCTTCCAGCCGAGCATCCTCTTGATCACATAGAAAACTTTGAAGAGATTTGCAGCACTACAAGATCCAATGGAGTCTCTGCTGACTACTTGAAGTGCAAGCTCTTTTCATTCTCTCTTGGCGACAAAGCTTCAAGATGGTTGAAGTCTCTGCCAGCTCACTCCATTACCACTTGGGATGAGTACAAGGCCGCTTTCATCAACCACTTCTACACCAAGCAAAGATCAGTTTCTGTAAGGAACAAGATCTCCAACTTTCGCCAAGCCAACAATGAATCTTTCTATGAGGCGCTAGACCGATTCAAGGAGTACATTAGGGACTGCCCTAATCATGGTTTCAATGAGGGAAACCTATGGAACATCTTCTATCGTGGCATAGACCACAAGTACAAGCTTTCATTGGACACTGCAAGCAATGGAAACTTCATGACCAAGACTGTTGATGAAGCTAAGGTTCTTATTGAGAATCTTGCAGCTAGTGATTGTAACAACTGTCCTGATTATGACCGCTCAAGCCGCACCACTACTAGCTCCCCTGATTCTTTTCAAATGACTGAACTCAAGAACATGATGGCTCAAGTTCTTAAGGGACAGCTCAAGCATATCAATGCAATAGAAGGGATGAGTGATGCTAATGAAGACCCATCAAGAGAATGCATGGGAGATTTCTCTAATGAAGCCAATGAAGAAGATGTGAACTACATTGGAAACTATGGGAACAAGGGATACAATCCAAGCTATCGCCCAAACCCCAACATGTCTTATAGAAACCCCAATGTGGAGAATCCTCAAGACCAAGTGTATCCTCCAAGGTATCCACAACAACAAAGACCTCCTTACCAATCTCAAGGAAGTCAATTTCAGCCAAGGCAAGGGTATGAGCAGAGATCATCATATCCGCCCAAGGAGCCATATGCTTCTTCACCAAATCAAGCTCCTCCAAACCAACAAGGTGGAAGATTTGAAGGAATCCTCCAACAGATCATGGATGGCCAGAAAAGAAATACAAAGAGATGTATGAGAAGATGGACACTTTGTTCAGCAATCTCAACACCAAGTATGATGCTGTTGCCACTCATGTGAAGAAACTAGAGACTCAAGTCACCAAACTATGGAAGCTGTTAAGAGACAGGAAGCTGAATCCAAGAAGTCCTTTTGCAACTCAGCCGCCATAGAAGAAAGATTTGAAGACCAAGTTCCAGAATGGATGCTTTCAAAACCTACTGTTGATTGCATGATTTGGCCTGAAGAGAATTACCCAGAGAGAGAGTCCAATCGAGCTAGAAAGAGAAGACTCTTCCCAAAGATTATCCCCAAGACTGATAACTCAGGAAAGTTTGTTGTGCCTTGTATCATCAAAGGTAACATTCTTGAGCAATCTTTGTGTGACACAGGAGCCAATGTGAACATCATGTCTAAGAGGATAGCTGACAAGATAGGCCTCACCAAGATAGAGCCATCATCCATCTCCATCAACTATGCTGATTCATTCTCACAAACCCCTATGGCTTTGTGCCTAATGTGATGGTGCAGATTGGAAATTGCTCTATCCCTACTGATTTCCAGATTGTGGAAATGAGAGAGAGTAGCCATAGACCTCTCATATTTGGAACCCCTTTCCTGTCTACTGTGGGTGCCATATTTGATTTCCCCAATCAAAGAATCTCTTTCAACAAGGTGAACAAGGGTATGTTCTTCCCTATGTGTTCAACAAAGAACTCTTTTGTTGACATGGTCCAAGAGGAGAAAGTTACTTTGAAGCCACCCCAAGAAGGAGAAACTGAAGAACAATCAAGGAAGATCCCATTCCTAAGCCCAAGCAGCTTGCCAAACAAGCAAGGAGTAAGACTAAGGCCCCTACACCAAAACCGCCCAAGGGATCAACCAAGATTGAAGATGAGGCCAAGCCAAGAAGGAAGGTTAGAAAGCCTAGGTCTGGCCGCAACATGAAGCTTCTATTCCCAAAGGAGCTTATTGATGAGAATCTAGAAGGATTCAAGGAGAAAGTTGACAAGAACTCTAAACTTTTTCCTAAGGCAGTAGTGCCAAGGGACATTCATGGAGAGATTGTCTATCCAGCTGTGAATCACCCACCAGATACTCATTGCAAGGAGAAAAGACTTGGAGGATCAAAGATGCCTCTTGTCTCCATCTTCTCCTGAGCGCCAAGCCTTACAGTCAAGCTAAAGACTTAAAACAAGCGCTGCATGGGAGGCAACCCATGAGGTACTTTTACTTTTCTTTCTTTAATTTCTTAGTTTTTGTTTTGCTTTTGTGTTTTCTTTGTTTTAAGATAGGATAGAAGGAGAAAAAGGTGTGAAAACACAATCCGCGCCAAAACCATTGGCCGCGGACGCGCAAAGAAATTTGGCCGAGCAAATTCCAATCGGGCCGACCGTACCGGTCGAGCCGGGAAGGAACGGCTCTGCTCGGCCGGACACTTAGCGCGACAAAACCGTCCGGCAGACGCACGACAGGAAGGAACAGGCCGCGATCGGCCGGATTGTATCGGAACGGACCGACCGCCGGTCGATCCGGGAACAAACGATCGGCCTCGGCCGATTTCTCGTCCAGTTTGGCCGACCAAATCGCTCGACCGCGACAAAATCCATCGGCCATCGGCCCAAACTTTTTCGGCCAAGGTAAGTCCCCTTTTCATTAAATTCAAACCGGTTTTAACCAATCCTAAACCAACTTAAACCGGTTTTCAATCAAAATTCGAATTTGAAAAGGAAAATTAAGGATTGACTTTATAACTTTACCTTTCCCTTGAAAACAACAAGAACCTCTCTTTCTTCTCCAAAACCCTAAACTCCATTAGAGGAACTCTAAGAGTTTTGATTTCAAAACTTTTACTGTTCATAACTCTAAATTGGAATTTACTTGCTCTTCTTCCTTATTCACTTTTCAACACACAAGGTATGTCTTCTAACTCTAATCCATGTTTATGCAAGATCGAAATTTCAATAAGTTTCTTGTTTGGTCTAAACTCTTGTCTAAACTTGAAATTGCATCTTATTAGTCTTGTAATGAACTTAGCTAGGTGGAACCTAGGTGGTTTAGAGTTATTTAGAGTTTAATTTCACAATTGAATAGTTTTTCACAAAACTTATTGGGCATTCCAAACCCCTTATTCAAAGGTGAAATTGCTTAGTCATGCTTGTTGGACCTGGATTTCCCTCCAGAAATCCGGCCCATAAGGCCCATCATCTAAGTCCTAAGATCAAGATAAGTCCACTCAGGCCCAGTAAAGTGACCTCGAGCCCACCAAGTATCCTTGTCCAAATCCAGCTGTTTACTGTCCGAGCTACTTGTGAAGATGAAGTCGAGCTCTAGCTCGACGGAGTCAAGTCCACAAGCTGAGTTTGAACGAGTCAAACGAGAATCTCGCTTCGACTGTTCAGATCCGGAAATAGCGGGATCGGTAGTTGCACGTGGACGAGATACGCGGAGGAGGTTGCGATCTACTTCGGTGCTATAAAAAGAGGACGATTCTTGATAAGAATGTTCTTTTGGACATAAGTTTAATCCTTCTCATTTCCGAGAGAGAATTCCTTAATCACAAGTCTTTTCGAGACAGAATTCCTTTGATCAAAAATCACTACACAAGTTCTTCTCATCATCTTTTCACAGCAGAAACAGAGTGAAGTTCTTCTTCTTCGTCTTGAGATATTCTCATATCTTTTCTCTTCGATCTTATCCTTGATCTTCGAGATAACCTTAGAAAGCCCTGATCTTTCTAGCCGGAAATCACTTCCGGCAGAAGTTCGACGTAATCTCTTACCTTCGGATCACTCCGATAACCTGAGATTTATCGTCATCTTCACACCCTTTAACTCTTTTCGTGGTCATTTCTCTTCAGAAAACGACTCGAAATAGAGAACAACTTACAATCGAACTACGTTCTGGCTTGATCCCTAAAACAGGGTACGTAGGCAGCTCGTTACACGAGCGCAGCCACCACCTAATTTCCATCTCTTTTGCTTAGTCGAATCCTAGTGTTTTACATGGTCTTTCAGGCCGGTTTTGTAACCACTTTATTCGATTAGCCTAAGTCCGATTTCGTCAAATATTTGTCTACGAATCATTCGACTTACATCAGAATCTAACCTCTGATTCCACAGGCAATTTCTCCCTACAAAATACACATAAATTTTGAGTGTGGTTTTCCGAACCCACATTTTGGCCCTAGAAGGAGGGGAGAAAATAGCTTTCTCTTACCCAAGGGTCGAACCTAAACCAATTGAGAACGAAATGGATTCATTCCTATCAAATTCTCAGGGAGCTCGCTCCCAGTCTCAGATCCCATCGGATCAAATCACTTCGGATGTCAGCAGTGCCAAAACTGCAGACATACCGAAAAACCCGATCACCTCGCCAACTGGCAGCAGCCAAACTGATAGTAGATCGAGCGTCCTGGTCGATCCGGTTATCACCTCCGCGGCAGCGAACTCGAATGTTCCAGCCCGCGTGAAACCATCGGTGATCAACCTCGTCACTTCTGTGACAGCCGAGAACTCGATCTCGCACGCAATTGAGAAGCCTCATTTGCGAGTTCGGGTTAGATCTAAAAAATCTCCCGATTACCTCAACACTGATCAGTCGGATAACTCCGACACGAACTGTGTCAGCATCGTTAGCTTCGGCTCGACCACATCCGGACGACCAAGCCCAAATCAAGCGAATGCTCACCGACCTGATTAACAGTTAATACGACCAAAAAATCAGGTTGAAAAAATATGAACGAAGTCTTGCTGAGCTACGGACGATCATAAGTCCTCCTCCGGGAACTTAGCTCGACTTTTCACCAATGCACGAACCTAACAGCTCGTCGGAACGGGATGAGGCACCACCGCGTGCTCCTGTCATTCAGACTCTCATCCCACCGATGACCTCGTTAAACAGCTCGTCGGAACGGGATGAGGCACCACCGCGTGCTCCTGTCATTCAGACTCTCATCCCACCGATGACCTCGTTAAACAGCTCGTCGAAACGGGATGAGGAGCCAGCGCGCGCTCATGTCTTTCAGACTCTTGTCCCACCGATGAGCTCAATAAACAGCTTGTCGAAACGATACGAATTGCCACTGCGCACTCGAATCTCTCAGACTCTCCTCTCATCGATGAGCTCGCCATTGAGCAGCTTGAACATTCCAGATTCAAGCAAATCAGAGATAGGATCTCAGCCAACAGAGCGACTTCCATCTCCACCTCCATTGCTGCCAGGTCTCGAGCCAACTATATTTAGATGGCCCGAAACCACGGCTCACAACTTGAACTCGCATGCGGTGTCTCAGCTCGAAAATCAGTCCAATGAAATTTTGAGTTCGCAGAACCCTGCAACAACTCAAACTCAAGTTGAGGAAAACTATCAACAGTTTCCCGCAACAAACGATCTAGTCGATCGAGCTCAAAATCATAGAGTATACGATCCTACCGATCTAGCTCAATTGACGAAAGCAAATAGCTCGTCAAATCGAGCTCTATCCTATTCGATTCCATCTAATCAGATTCTTGTCGATCCGCGAAACCTTTTGGACCGTGAATCTTTCGAAAGGTTCCAGATCCAAACAAACCTCGCATTCCGGCAAGCGAACTCAACGTTTAACCAAACAATGAGTTCGATTCCGGATATCGACAAAGTAATCAGGGAGACGCAACAAACTCCCTTCTCATGCAGGATCACTAATACCTATCTGCGCGATACTTACAAGCTATGTATCCCGGAATACTCTAGTAACAGCGATTCACGAGCTTATATCCGAGCTCTTTATCTCGAAATTCTTCGAGCTCAATTTTCTCCTGAAGAGATAGAAGCAGCTTCCTGCAAACCCTTTGCTGAAAACCTAGCCGGACCAGCTAAAAATTGGTTCGCAACGCTGGATGAAAATTCAATCGATACTTTCGACCAGCTCCTTTCGGTATTCATAAACCAATATTCGATCTTCATCGAACCAGAAGTTTCTGAAGCCGATCTCTGGACGCTTTCTCAAGCTCCTAACGAATCACTTCGATCTTACGTCAACAGGTTCAAAGCAATCATCACTAAGATCGAAAACCCTAACGAGGCAGTAGCTCTACTAGCCTTCCGAAACAACTTGTGGTACGAATCGAAATTCAGAGAAGAACTAATCGTTCGACCTCCTGTATCACTCGATGATGCACTTCGCTGCGCGTTAACCTTTGCTAAACCCTAACAAAAGCTCTTACAGTGGATCGACATGCTAGCTCAGCAAAATTTCTAAGGTAACCAAGCAATCTAGAGTTAACCTCACCCTTAATCAATCTTAATAACTCTTGTCAAGGGGATTGGCATACATGTCGACAGTTCCTTGCTTGATTTTCAATGAGATTTGTCTAACCTTTAAAGCAGTTCTCCTCTCTCTCCCATCCCAAAAGGTAAGAAATATTTATGAGAAAAAGCTCTAAGAGCACAAGGAAAACAAGTAAGCATGAGGAATGCATATGTCTGTCATGTCTTATGGAATACCTTATCAAACAAGGAACAAGCTAAAGACTTATCCTATGATTGATAGAGGGTCAATAGAAAAAATAAAATGATACCCTAGAAAAGTAGGGAGAAATTGACCTTTCAAAGTTCTGGATGTGAGAAAGAGAGAGGAAAAGAACTCATTGCACTTCAAAGACAATCTTGGAGAAGATCAAGTGGGTAAGAACAAGCTCAATTGATCGATGTCCCCTTGATAAAGAACTCACGCTTTAAATTTATGCAAGAGGTTAGCAATAGAGAGTTTGGATTGCTGGATGAGACTAGTTGGGTTGGTATTGTTCGCTAAACTTGCAGGGTGTATGTGAAGCTAACCTTATGTTGTATATGTTCTTAGTGGAATACAGGAAAGGAACCCTTCACAGGATATTCAAAAGAGCAAGGGAGTTTCCACGTTTTCAAACCTCTTTCACGGATTTAGATTTTGTTTGCTTGGGGACAAGCAAAGATCTAAGTCTGGGGGAGTTGATATACCTCTATTTTACATGCTTTTTATACTGTTTTAGTATTGTTTTCTAATGGTTTTTGGCAGGTTTTCTATCTAAAAAGGTAGTTTTATTGTATTTATAGTGTCTAGAGTCTAAACAGGTGAAATGATGCATTTTGGAGCAAAACCATAGGATTTGCAATTCAAGCCGCTCCATACCCAAGCATCAACTTTAAGAGGGCCCTGAAAAAGATCTACTCAATGGATTTCATCAAGACCAGTTCCCTGCGTGCTCTGAGTGAGTTAACTTTCCAACGCAACTGGAACGGCCTCATTTGGATGAGTAGAAAAGGAGTTATAACCAAAAGAGTGAAGACTGTCCAGACGGCTCTATCGAGGAACCGCGGCCAAGCCGTGCAAAGCGGCCGGACGAGGAATGAATGTTCCGCGGTCTGCCAAGATCAAATCCATCCGTCCATGCCTCGGCCAAAGTTCTTCACTACCCGTCCAAGCTCCAGCCGAGTACGCATCACGACCCGGGAAGCAATGTCCGGCGGTCGGCCACGCCACGCCCACTCAAGATGATGTCGCGCACGACCATGCCATACACGTCGCGACAAACACAAAGAGCCCGGTGTTAGGTAGTCCGGAACTAGCTGGGTAGATCCCTACCTCATCACTGGTGTAGCTCGCAACAGCGTCTACAAGCTCGCCAATCCAAAAAGGAATACATGGACTGAGTCATTTAAACGCAATGTACCTGAAACGGTACTTCGTTAAAACAATCTCATCTGAGGTATCTCCACCCCACGAACTACGTCCAGGCTTGATCCTCCTTCCCTGGAGGTACGTAGGCAGCTCATCCATGAGTCCAGCCCCAATCAAATTCATTCCTAATATTCGAGACGACTTCAATGGCCAGCTCTTCAACAGGTTCGATTTGTATCATCTCAATATCAATACTTTTCTATTTTTCTTTTTACGAAATTGCTCGAACTCACCTTGCGAATCCTTAAGCGCCTCCTTAGACTCTTAAGCGTAATTAGATATAGAGAAATAACCTGGTCCAGCCACGGAACAGAAAATCGCTTCCTTATTTCGCAGAAACCCATCAGAGTCAACCGCATCCAAGCATCCGGCATCAGTGTTACAGCCGAGTGCGAGTCGAACTCCTCAAGGCAGCTTGTAGTCTAACACGATATCGAGCTACTTTGACGGCACGTCCGAATCGCACTTGACCCGAACGTGAGCCGAGAGACCTCAGGCAGTTTGCATTATGATACGAAATCAAGCCGCTTCGACGGTCCCATCCGGACACGCTCGGAACACTATCCGTTGCGACAAGATCGTAGTCACTCCGCATGGTAAACCATCTCTCCCACAAAGCCAAATTAGGAACACCTCGTATCAACAACCGGGAAAACAACAAACTTTGGGCCCAACTACCCAAAACAGCTAAAATTTCGAATTACTCCTAAGGACATCGAATACTTAGCAAAACGCCAGTCGAATCCGACTGAAGATCTGAAAGGTCATCAGCTCGACTCCGAGCTGTCCTCGAAGATTAAGCCCAAGTGCTGATCGAGTAGATCAATCTACGAAATCACACAACTGGCATCAATCGAATCCGATTGATAATCTTAAAGGAATCAGCTCGACCCCGAGCAGTCTTTCTTTAAACAATCCAAACCGGCTAAACATTCGAATTACTCCTAAGGACATCGAATACTTAGCAAAACGCCAGTCGAATCCGACTGAAGATCTGAAAGGTGATCAGCTCGATTCCGAGCTGTCCTCGAGATTAAGTCCAAGTGCTGATCTCATGTAGAAATCTACGAATCACACAACTGGCAAAACCTAGTCGAGCCCGACTAAACATCTGAAAGGTGATCAGCTCGATTCCGAGCAGTCCTCGAAGATCAAGTCCAAATGCTTACCATGTAGATCAATCTACTAATCCGCGCAATTGGCAAAACCCAGTCAAACCCGACTGAAAATTCAATAGGAGATTAGCTCACCTACGAGCAGTCTTTAACCATAAAGCTCCAGAGCTGATCATGTAGATCAATCTACAAAATCACACAACTGGATCCAATCAAATCCGATTGATAATCTTAAAGGAAATCAGCTCGGCCCCGAGCAGTCTTTCTTCAATCAAGCCCAATGCTGATCATGTTGATTAATCTACAAAATCACGCAATTGGCAAACACCGGTGAATCCGACTAAAAGTCTGATAGGAAATCACCTCGACTTAAAGAAATCTTTAAAGATGAAGCTCGAGTGCTGATTGTGTAGAACCACCTACTGAATTCAGACGATCATCTAAAATCAGTCGTTTTCAACCGACAAAGGTTAGCTCAACCCGACGCAACCTTCCAAGTTGAAGCTCAACACGTTAAAAGCTCGAGCTGGAATTCAAAAAGAAACTAGCTCAACTTTATACGATTCTCAAAGAGATCAACTGAGCTTCATCCGGTCCGACCAGTTAGCTGACACGCTAGGTCAAATCTCCAATCAAACCAAAACGACTAATGTTCGAACAATCGAGCTAACAGTCAATTGATCTGGAAAACAAAGATAAACTCTAAGACATCAAACGTCTAAGAAAAATTATCAAACACCAAGCTCATTCCGAGCAAACAAGTTTGAACATAAAAGGATAAAAGCCTTCCAGGCACCAAATCCAAAAGGCAAAGCATAAAAACCTTGCTGGGCTAACTTGTTCAAAACTTAAACGAGAATAGAGCTCATCCTTAGCAAGCCGCTTTGACGAGCTACTCTATCTCTCATATTTGAGCTTAGTATCGAGCTCATCTACTACCTGTTTCATCTTATCAAGCTCATCTTGCCAAGACGCTTCATGTAACCTTTGTTCACAACGAGCAGAGAGCTTCATGATTCACCTTCAAAGCTTGATAAAGATTAATCGCAGATATTAAGTCCGAAGATATCAAATCATCGGCAAAAACTTAGAAAAGGTAAAACCATACCTTCTCATCCGCCGCCATCGCTGCCGCATACAGCTCCCTCTCGAGCGTCATATCCAAAACTGGAGATTGATTTGCAGCAGGCCCGCATTGGCGCAACATGAATGTTCAAGGATTATCCAAAACTGGCACATCCTTCGAACAATCTATTATTAAAAGGGATGACGGACTCGCCGTCGAGTTAACTCGCTTTTTCAAGGAGCTCGACAAATTCGGAGTCCGATTATCATCTCTTGCTCATTTCGAGCTCCATCCTCATTGTTCGCTATTCGACCTCAACGAGATAGTTCGTCTCAAATGAGTCACTTGGGTATTATCCCCGATAGCAGCATGAAGAACCCGACCTACTACTTCATCACGAAGAGTATATTCGACCGCAACATGGACAATCTCCACAACTCCATTAGCTCTAGATTGGATTGCTTGCTCACAACGAGCGGCAGCCGACTTTGCAGATCGTTCACAAAACGTTAGCTCGCGAGAAATCTTCTCTCTTCCAAGAGGTGGATACTCGAAGTCGGGCTCTAATCTGTAACAGATGGAACGCGGCGAAAAACAGTAACAAACAAAATTTTGTTGCTAAAAATGGATGAAAGCCTTCACAGGTATTAAACGAAGACAAAACATATGACTCGCCCAAGTCATTACAGCGAAAAACTTTCTCTATCGCAGCATCGAGCTCGATTCGAAGTTCGCTCGGGACATATACCATCTTGTCAAGCTCGATTCTAAATAGATTCTTGCTTGATCTTATATGATCCTAAGAAATCAACTAAGTCTCACCTAGTCTGATTTGAATGGCAGTCAAGCACTCTGCCAATTCTCGAGCTAAAACTCGAGAACATCTTCAAGATCGAGCTAGATTCTCAATAGATTCTAACCCGACCTTAAAATATCTTCAAAGATATTGACTAAGTCTTTGTTCAGCTTAGCTCAATGATAAGCTCGACGTTTGGTCAAAATAACATTCGAACCAAAGACTAGATTTTATTTAGCTCGACCTAAATAAAACAAATACTTAGTCGAAATCATGCCAAGTTTGACTCGAAATTTCAAAAAGAAATCAGTTTAACTTGAAGCAACTTTCAGAAGAGTTGGCAAAGTCTTTTCTGCTAGATTTCACGGTCACCGAAAATCTTATGCGAGAAATAGTCAAACAAACCGACTAAATTCATTTAGTCGTATCTTTTTCGAGTTCGAGTCGGAAAAACAATCCGACTTAAAGTGACCAAGTTCGATTAAAGAATTTAATCAACAACTGGTCGAACTCGAAAAACAATCGATTAACTCAAAAAGAGCTCGCGCAATGTTTGAGTTAGTTAAACCAAAAGCCTTCTCGAGAAACAATCTGAAAGAGTTGATAATCGCAAATCTTCTCCTAAGGTTTTCATTACTCTCGAAAAGCTCGACTCTTAAGATCATAATAGCTCTTCGATCTATTTTCGATCTTGATTGTCGATCTAAAGAATAAGTTATTACCTTGTCTTTCAAGGTGAAACTATCATTCAACGGCAAGATCTAAGATCTTTCGCCTTCCCGTTTGCGACCGTCGATCTCTAATGACTATTCAAAGTCATGATTTAGTTCGACGGGACTGCGGGACAATTTAAAACAACCTACCGCTCATTAAGTTCGATTATACTCACTTAATGAGCTGGGGGGCTATTGTTGGACCTGGATTTCCCTCCAGAAATCCGGCCCATAAGGCCCATCACCTAAGTCCTAAGATCAAGATAAGTCCACTCAGGCCCAGTAAAGTGACCTCGAGCCCACCAAGTATCCTTGTCCAAAATCCAGCTGTTTACTGTCCGAGCTACTTGTGAAGACGAAGTCGAGCTCTAGCTCGACGGAGTCGAGTCCACAAGCTGAGTTTGAACGAGTCAAACGAGAATCTCGCTTCGACTGTTCAGATCCGGAAATAGCGGGATCGGTAGTTGCACGTGGACGAGATACGCGGAGGAGGTTGCGATCTACTTCGGTGCTATAAAAAGAGGACGATTCTTGATCACAAGGCATGACCGACATAAGTTTTTTCTAATTCTCGAGAGAGATTCTTTTTGAATCACTACAAGTTCTTCTCATCATCTTTTCACAGCAGAAACAGAGTGAAGTTCTTCTTCTTCGTCTTGAGATATTCTCATATCTTTTCTCTTCGATCTTATCCTTGATCTTTGAGATAATCCCAGAAAGCCCTGATCTTTCTAGCCGGAAATCACTTCCGGCAGAAGTTCGACGTAATCTCTTACCTTCGGATCACTCCGATAACCTGAGATTTATCGTCATCTTCACACCCCTTTAGCTCTTTTCGTGGTCATTTCTCTTCAGAAAACGACTCGAAATAGAGAACAACTTACAATCGAACTACGTTCTGGCTTGATCCCTAAAACAGGGTACGTAGGCAGCTCGTTACACGAGCGCAGCCACCACCTAATTTCCATCTCTTTTGCTTAGTCGAATCCTAGTGTTTTACATGGTCTTTCAGGCCGGTTTTGTAACCACTTTATTCGATTAGCCTAAGTCCGATTTCGTCAAATATTTGTCTACGAATCATTCGACTTACATCAGAATCTAACCTCTGATTCCACAGGCAATTTCTCCCTACAAAATACACATAAATTTTGAGTGTGGTTTTCCGAACCCACAATGCTTCAATTCATTAGTTTATCTAGTGATTACTTGGATTAGAAACTCAATTTCTCTTGATTTGCTAAAATTTCGATTTTAGCACCATAATCTTGAGATGAACAGTAAAATCCGAAAATTAACTTTGAAAAGTGAAATTTCCATTTTGTTTCTTTGATTATGATTAAGCCTTGAGTTGTTCCATTATACCATATCATTATTACAACTCAATTAGCTTATCTTTCTTTTGCATTAATCACAAACTCATGTCTCTTCCCAAGAATTTGCTCTTGTAGGTACCCAATGGCAAGACAAAAGGAGGTGAGGCCATGAAGAAGAAGAAGATCCATTCATGCAACCACCAAGAAACAAATCAAGCTAGGGAGTAGTAGCTCCAATGCAAGAGCAGCAATACCAACATCACCACATTCCATTGATGCAAGTCAAGAACATGTGGAGAGTCCAAGAAGAGAAGATGATTGGGCACTTGTAAGCTTTGTTGGAGAACAAATCCAAGACCCAAGAAAGTGCAAGAAGAACCTTGTGTGAAGATGGACACCCAACCCTTGACCTTCTCAAGATAAGAGATGATGTCACATGGTATCTAAGGAAGCTTGGCTTGAGCAAGCTATTCAAGATAGAGTGCAGCGAGTACTCAACTAACCAAGGAGTTCCTCTCCACAGTAGCTCTTGCCTTTCCCAACCACAATGGAGACCAACCAGCTGGTGATGGACTCCTACTCTTCAAGATAGGCGATGCCAATGGGCGCATCTCCATCTCAGCTCTATGCCAACTCTTTGGACTTCCCAATGAGACAGCACATGACTTCAAGGAGAACTCAAAGAGGAAACAAGCTGCCTTTGCTGATTGGACACACTTTGCCAATGAACCATTCTTGCCTTCAAGATCAAAGGTGTCTAGAATCACTCATCCAGCCATTCGCTATGTGCACCGCCTCATCTCCACCACTTTCCAATGCAAACAAGAAGCCAACAAGGTCACAACTGATGAGTTCTACATCCTCACCACACCATTCATCAAGCATGAGTACAAGGCCAACCTTGGCCTTTTGCTTGCCAAGACACTTATCAATGTGAGGAATCTAGCTCAAGACTTGGAAGGCAACAAGAAGCTTTGTGTTCGTTTTGGGAGGCTCATCACGGCCATAGTACAACATGTGGGGATTGACATTCCCAACTATGAGCCACTACCCAAGCCAATCCCTTTGGATCTCCATGCCCTTCAGCAATCCACTTCCTAAACCGTTGGACTAAAACCCAACCAAGTTTTGCTATGAGTTTCCAATTGGACCAACCAACACTTCCCTTGTCTTGCTGCCACATGAAGACATCCCAAGCCTACGCTCAGGTGTTGTCACTTTCCAGCCCAAGGAGGAAGACTTCTATGTTCCATCAAGTGAGAAACCATCATTCCCCATCCTCACCTATCGCACACTTCAGCGCACAGTCAAGACTCAACGCCGCCACCAAGAACGCCATGTTCTCACTACTGGCATGGCCGCGAACCAAGCTCTAGACCGTGTGAGCAAGCTGGAGAAGATCGTGGAGTGCCAATCTCGCTTCATCTCACGCCTAGTTCGTGTAGTTCGCCACATTGCACCGGAGAGACTCTTTCGCCCTTCTTCCACCGCTAGAGAGCCATATGAGCCTGACCTTGGTGAGTTCTCACTAGACTCAGAGCTTGGTTCAGAAGGCGATGACCCCATAGATGAGGAAGAGAGTTCTTCTCACTGCCACACATAGTCATCTCAAGTGGTACTTAGTGCAATGGACACTTACAAATCTCCATTTTCTATCCCTATCTCATTTTAATGAATTTTTTTTATTTTTCTTTTACTTTGAATATTACCTCTCACCTTAATGTGATTTGCTTTCACCGGGACGGTGCAAGTTAAGTCTGGGGGGAGTTTTATTGTGTTACTAATGCATTTTTCTTTCTTTTCTTATGTTTTATTACTTTGTTTCATGTTTTTCAAAAAGTTTTATTGAGTCAAAAACCAGTCCGGAAGTTATGAACTTGCTTTGAGAATTGAGAGTGTTGTGCTAACAATCCATGACCCTAGAGCAGAAATCAGCTAAAGGCACAAGCCTAACAGAAGCTCTTACAGTGGATCGACATGCTAGCTCAGCAAAATTTCTAAGGTAACCAAGCAATCTAGAGTTAACCTCACCCTTAATCAATCTTAATACTCTTGTCAAGGGGATTGGCATACATGTCGACAGTTCCTTGCTTGATTTTCAATAAGATTTGTCTAATCTTTAAAGCAGTTCTCCTCTCTCTCCCATCCCAAATGGTAAGAAATATTTATGAGAAAAAGCTCAAAGAGCACAAGGAAAACAAGTAAGCATGAGGAATGCATATGTCTGTACCTTCATGTCTTATGGAATACCTTAGTCAAACAAGGAACAAGCTAAAGACTTATCCTGTGGTTGAAAGAAGGGTCAATAGAAAAAATAAAATGATACCCTAGAAAAGTAGGGAGAAATTGACCTTTCAAAGTTCTGATGTGAGAAAGAGAGAGGAAAAGAACTCATTGCACTTAAAGACAATCTTGGAGAAGATCAAGTGGGTAAGAACAAGCTCAATTGATCGATGTCCCCTTGATAAAGAACTCACGCTTTAAATTTATGCAAGAGGTTAGCAATAGAGAGTTTGGATTGCTGGATGAGACTAGTTGGGTTGGTATTGTTCGCTAAACTTGCAGGGTGTATGTGAAGCTAACCTTATGTTGTCTATGTTCTTAGTGGAATACAGGAAAGGAACCTTCACAGGATATTCAAAAGAGCAAGGGAGTTTCCACGTTTTCAAACCTCTTTCACGGATTTAGATTCTTTTTGCTTGGGGACAAGCAAAGATCTAAGTCTGGGGGAGTTGATATACCTCTATTTTACATGCTTTTTATACTGTTTTAGTATTGTTTTCTAATGGTTTTTGGCAGGTTTTCTATCTAAAAAGGTAGTTTTACTGTGTTTATAGTGTCTAGAGTCTAAACAGGTGAAATGATGCATTTTGGAGCAAAACCATAGGATTTGCACTTCAAGCCGCTCCATGCACAAGCATCAACTTTAAGAGGGCCCAGAAAAAGATCTACTCAATGGATTTCATCAAGACCAGTTCCCTGCGTGCTCTGATTGAGTTAACTTTCCAACGCAACTGGAACGGCCTCATTTGGATGAGTAGAAAAGGAGTTATAACCAAAAGAGTGAAGACTGTCCAGACGGCTCTATCGAGAACAGCGCCAACCGCGCAGCGGCTGGCCGAGGAACGAATGTTCCGCGTCGGCCAAATCATCCGTCCGTCTGAAGTCTCGGCCAAAGTTCAAACCGCCACCGGCCGATACGCATCACGACCCGGGAAGCAATGTCCCGCGGTCGGCCAGCCACACCACTCACGATGCCGCGCACGACCATGCCGCGCGAGCCGGGAAGCAAGCCTCGCGGCCGCGCAACCTCTCACGTACCACGGCCGATGCGCCGTCCGAGCCGGGAAAGCCACGTCCGCGTCCGCCGAGAAACATCGGCCAACTTCATCCGTCCGACCACAGCGGCCGACCACGAATCCGTCCGGCCACGACCGTTCCGATCGTACTGAGCCCATGACCCGATTGTCCGGCCGATCGTCCCGACCGACCGTCCGAACGCCGCGGTCGACCCGAAGCCCGTTTCACGTATTTTCAAGCCCGGCTTAACCCTAAGCCGCCTCTGAAGACCTAGCACTATATATATAGCTTTTTAGCCTCTTGTGAAAGAGAGCCGCCCTTGTATTTCGATTTCTACTCTAAGTTTTATTGCAATCATGTTTTCTTCATCTCTATGTGTGTTTGCTTTGATCATGTCTGAGTAATCCACTAGTTAGGTTGCTAGGGTTACTATTCAATGAGTTGCTTGCATGATCTTTGATTTCGATGATTAGCTAGGGATTATATAGAGTCTTTGTCTCGTCTTGTGCACTTAACTAATGCTGATTGCTTTACCGCGCATCTAGTAATCCGATCTTAGGTTGATTTGAGCCTCGACAGTGTTGTATCATTCGCCGGACATATTCTTTGACAAGCTAGGTTTCTTAGACTGCGAAAGTTGATCTACTATAATCTAGTGAACTGTATCAGAACCTATTCATTCTAAAGCTTGATTTAATCACCTAGGGACATACCAAAAGTTTAGCGACTAGGTAGATTAACAAAGGAGCCGGAGCCTCGAAAGTGGAATGGTTTTATATTCGTGATCTGTGTTCTAGACGGTTCTTAATATCCCAATATCCCTAATCAATTCATCTATCATTGTTTCATTGATCATTGCTTGCTTCTCTGCGATTAGCCCCTATGACCTAGCGCTTTTCCTTATTGATTTACAACCTCGTTATACTTGCTAGTTCGGTTCACCATTACAACCTCAATCATACTTTTGTTTTAGCTTGATCCAAAATCCATAGTTTCAAAGTGTACTCAATAGCCAGTCCTTGTGTTCGATACCCATACTTCCGCGATCTGTGCACTTGCAGAGGTCTAGGAGTTTGGTAAAACCTGAGTCACCATCAGCCTTCCCTATGGCACAATCACCACTTGGGATGAATGCAAGAAGGCATTTCTTGCTAAATTCTTCTCCACCGGTCGCACAGCCAAGCTGAGGAGTTATATTTCGAGTTTCATACAGAGAAACAATGAGACATTTGCTGAGGCTTGGGAGAGATTCAAGGGCTACACAAGTAAGTGTCCCCATCATGGCTTCCACAATGAGTCTTTGCTCTGTACTCTCTATAGAGGTTGTTTGGAAACTTCCTTAATCAGGATGTGGATGATGGCTGGCCGCTTGTGGAAAACATTGCTAACTCCAATGGAAGATATGGAGAAGAGTATGATCGCACCTACCGGAGCTCGACCCACCACTCGATCGAGTCAGACGAGAAATTGAGAAAGGAGGTCAAATCGTTGAATGAGAAGTTGGACAAGCTTATCTTAGTTCAGTCCACTATGAAGAAAGTCAATTTTGTGTCTGCTGAAGAGATGGAACCTGTTCAAGATGGGGAGGATACACAATTTGCTGAAGTATTGATATACTCAACATTTGCATACATTTAGCTTCGTATTCTGCATGGTTCTGTATATAATTGAGTCCCATTTCATGACATTTAGTGTAGATTTAGTCTACTTAAGATCATTTAGCTTTTTGGTTAGCATTTTGCATTTCCATTGCATTTGGGGTGCATTTATCAGGTATCTAGAGCTTATGGCGAAGGAGCAGACCGGAGGTGATTATCGGAAGTGGGCCAGAAGGAGATCGGAGCCATCAGACGTCAGAAGGAGTTTGGCGGAACAGAGCATTGAGCAAAAGGAAACAAGGTGCTTGAGGAAGTTTCTCAAGCTACGCGCAGCTGTGAAGTGAAAGCAAAAACGTTGACCGGGGCTACACTTTTCCCTTCTCTATATAAACCTTTAAGACCTAAGTTTTTAGGCAATCTTTATCTTTGTAACTCGTTTCTCTCCAAGAAAAACAGTTTGTTCTTGGAGATCTTTTGTAAGCTTTTAGCTTGGAATCTTTTAAGTTTAAGAAGTACTTAAGTTTGCTAATATTTTCTTAGTGATGATTTCTTGCTTCCTTTCATTCTTTGCTTTCGATTTGAGTATGAATAGCGAGTAGTTTCTTTAGAGGTTTCGAGGGTGAGATGAGGAAAGGTTAGAGCTTTAGCTTCCTGTTGACCTCTTCCTGTTGAAATCAAACCGCACATTCTGCATCAAGTCCAACAAAAGATCTATCACGGTCTACCTGAGGAAGACCCGTTGGACCATCTTGACGAGTTTGACAGAGCATGTGATTTGATCACACAGAATGGGGTAAGCGAAGACGCAACCAAACTTCGTTTATTCCCATTCTCACTTGATGGCAAAGCTCGCCAATGGGAAAAGACGATCCATCACAAGCTGGGATCAGTGCAAGAAAGCCTTCTTGGCTAAGTTCTTCTCCTCAGTCAGAACTGCAAGCTTCAGAACCAACATCTCAAGCTTCGCACAAAAGCACGGCGAGAGTTTCACAGACGCCTGGGAACGCTTCAAAGGATATCAGTCGAAGTGCCCACACCACGGTTTCTCTCAAGAGTCACTCCTTAAGTACTCTATACCGTGGTGTACTGCCTCGCTTCAGGCAGATGCTTGACACAGCAAGCCAAGGAAACTTCTTGGCCAGAGATGTGACGACGGTCTGTTCTTGGTGGAAAACATGGCAATGAGCAATGGTACATACGGCGAAGATCACGACCGCACAAACAGAGGATCCGTGAAGCAGAGGAAAAGCACAAGAAGGAACTGAAAGTGCTGAACGACAAGCTTGACAAACTGCTTATAGTCCAGCAAAAACAGTCGGTACACATGCTGGAGGAACGTGATGACGATCAAGAGGAGGAGTTTACACTGAGGACGTCAACTACATTCATAGCCAGGGTTACTACAAGAACAACCCCAATATGTCCTATCGAAGCACGAATGTAGAGAACCCCCAGGACCAAGTCTATCCTCCTCAAGCCAACACGTCTGGTCAAGGAAAGATGTACCCAACTAAACCACGTGATGGGTACAACAAAAATTTCCAAGGAGGCTATCAGAAAAACACCTCTGTTCCACCTGGATTCGAGGCTAAGCAAGGTCCGCAGGAACCTGGAGTCAAGCAGATGCTTCAGCAACTACTTCAGGGACAGTCTACCGGAAACGTGGATCTCAACAAGCGACTCGCTGAGATCAATGGGAGAATTGACTTCTCACACCACGACCTTCAGACTAAGATTGAAGCTCTCACAAGTAGAATCCATCAGCTTGAACACAAAGGCGGAACTGCTTCTCATCCAGAACGCAAGGTCAACTTCCGGGTAAAGCTGAGCAAAATCCCAAGGAGTACGTACAAGCAATACATTGAGAAGTGGACGCGCTTTACCCCAGACAGGACCCGCACCAGTCAATGAGGACATTGAGGAACAAGAGGAGGAGATTTCAGTTGAAACTGAAGCCCGCGCACCTGTGATTGAAGAGGAACCACCAGTTCAAGAGAAAGAGAAAGCACCAGAGGAAGTGCAAAAGAAGAAGAAAGCCCCAGCTTTCGTCCTCCTCCTTACAAACCGCAACTTCCCTTTCCTGCCGATTCAAGAAGCAACAGCTTGAGAAAGCAAAGCTCTGTTCGATGAAAAATAAAGGAGATTGAATTACAATGCCCTTCTTGGATGCATGTATGCTCATTCCTCCCTATCAGAAATTTCTCAAGGACGCTGTAACCGAGAAGAAAAGAGGTTCAGGGTATGGTCGTTCTTTCTCAGGAATGTAGCGCAATCATCACTAGGAAAGTGGTTGGGAAGAAGTTTGAGGATCCAGGCAGCTTCACTCTTCCTTGTTCTATTGGTCCCGATGACATTCAACCGAAGCTTATGTGATCTTGGAGCAGGCGTATCTGTGATGCCACTCACAGTAGCTAAGAGGCTTGGGTTCGAGAAGTATCAAAAGTGCGACGTTTCCTTGGTACTTGCGGATAGATCAGTACGCATCCCAGTGGTATGCTCGAGGACTTGCCTGTGCGAGTAGGAAACGTGGAGATACCCACTGACTTTGTTATCCTTGAGATGGACGAGGAACCCAAGGATCCGCTGATCTTGGGAAGGCCCTTTTTGGCAACCGCCGGAGCTATCATGATGTTCAGAGAGGGAAGATTGAGCTAAACTTTGGAGATGACTTCAAGCTCAGCTTCGACATCAAGAGGTCGATGAAGAAACCAACCATTGATGGACAGCTCTTCTGGGTAGAGACTTTGGATCAGTTGGCAGACAGTATCTAGAGGAGTTAGCCACAGAGGACCAGCTTCAGCTCCTAACCTGAGAAAGCGGAGGAAAAAAGCTACTTCAACACCGAATCCTTGGAGTATGCTCGACTCTTAGACTCCCACAGAGGGACTGTTCCCAATGACGTGGTTGAGGAAATCATAGGACGCTCCGTAGAGTGTTGAGGAAGTCCACAAGGTAGAGGCAGAGCACGAGAGCAACAGTCTGAGCAACAGTCAGATGACGATTAGAGCGAGCTCAAAGCCCCAAAGGTGGACCTCAAGACCTTACCAGATGGGCTAAGGTACGCATTTCTTGGACCAAATTCAACTTATCCCGTAATTGTAAACCAAGAACTTACCCCAGCCCAATTAACCTCCCTCCTTAATGAGTTGAGGAAGTTCAGGAGAGCAATTGGTTACTCTTTGGAGGACATCAAAGGCATATCTCCTGAGATTTGGACTCACCGCATTCACCTCGATAACGAATCTAAAGGGTCTATTGAGCACTGCTGTACTTGCATTTTGCATAGTTTTAGTACATCTTTTATGCATCTTTTGCATAGTTTTAGCATCCATTAGCATCATATCTTGTTCCTTTTCTCTTCTTATGCATTCATAGTAGTTTTAGGTTGCATTTGCATACATATGCATGTTTGGTCCTTTGAAATAGGTCTTTTGGAGCATTTGGAGCATATGGGACGTGAGGAGCAGGAAGGACTTGGTGCATGGACGCAGCTCAACTGGATACGCAAAGGAAGAAGGAGGAAGCCATCTTGAAGACCAGCTCGACCACCTACTCGACCAACCGGTCGAGTTCCTCAACTCGACCGGCCAAGCTTCAACTCGATCGAGCTGAGAAGTCAAAGTCAAACCCGAAAAATGTTGCTTCCCCCTTGACTTCCTTTGACCCTAAACCTAAATCCTCTTGTATTTAAAGGCTAAAAGCCACGAAAAAACCACCAAGCTTTAGATTACTTTTGTTTTAGCTTTCTTTTAATTTATTGTCTTTTACTTTTGAACCCTAATCCCATCTTTGTGTTCTTGAAGCTCTTGCTTCTTGAATCCTAGATCTGGATATCTTTTGTATTTGCACTTGCTTATTTCAATAAAAGTTGTTTATTTCATCTCCTCTTTCATATTGATGTCTCTTTCATTGCATTTGCTTGTGTTTACATTCATGTGTAGTGAGTAGTTCCCTTAGGGTCAAAGATGGGATAGATTAGAGGATTTTATGCTTAATCCTTCTTGCTTATGTTCTTAATCTAGAAATCTCTCTCTTTTGGACAAACCTTAAGGCTACATGACCACTACCCCTGGCTTGTATGTCCATAGGCGATTCTCCACATGGAAGTGATGGAAATCGTTGGAAAAGGTCCACTAAGAGCTCCAATAACTCTTGCTCTCGAAATGGAGTTCATAGGGGTTGGATGGATTAGTTTGAGCAATGATCCTATGGCCTCCAAGGCTTGATTCTCACTGGCTAACCCCCTGTTTCTGAGATCAAGTCTTGGTTGATAGCTTTCACCTTGGGAAAGGGTTAGCTAGGCATTGAGAAGCTCAATATCAAGAGATACCTTGATACAAGTTGTTTGAGAGCAAGATTGATTAAGTATAGCCTTCCTCTGATTGTAAACCCTGTCTTAGACCCTATTTTCGCATTAGCTTGTTAAAGTCGCTGCCTTTATCGCTTTTTACTTCAACTCGACCCTAAACTCGATCGAGCTCGGTTACTGATGGCGGGTTTAGATTGCCTCAAATTTTCACAATTTATAAACCCAACTAATGAGCTGCAAGTGCACAGCCGTGTTGTAGTCGGGGTCGAACACGAGGAGGAAGTGTTCTCACTTAACACCTTGTGAGATTGGTTTGTAGCTAGCTCGCAATATGAACCTAGAATGAGAAAACAAAAGAAATGTGAAGTGAGTTTGTAAACAATTTAAAACAAGAGTTAGGCAAAGGACAATCATATGGAGCAATGATGAAAAGATAGTTGCATGGGATGTGTGTAGAGCCGTCTTGAACATGAATCACTAGTGTATGGTTTTCCACTGTCGTGGCTCCAACCACTATGTTTAAAACAACCTAATATACTCAGCTTTCGTTGGCTATTAGAATTGCAAACATGCATTACAAGGTTCAAGATTCAATTGTTCACAATAAACCATAACTCAGCTTTCGTTGGCTATGATCTATTGCTCACCAAATACTAGTTTTGAGATCTAGATTCAGCACTGTCGTGGTTCTATTTCTCTAAGATCAGATTACTAGATGTACGGTAGAGTAATCATGCATTAAGCTCAAGTAAAGGTGAAGATCCATAAGATAAATCCCAATAAGTTGCAACACAATCAAATCATCACGGCCACCATAGATCTCCTCGGCCTAACTAAGAGATCTACTCGGCCATGATGCAAACAAGCAAGCAAAGCATGATTGTAAACATTATGCAAGTATTAAAAGAGATAAAGGGATGAAGAAAGCTTCTCTATTGATGAACAAAGTCGGATTCTCCCTTGAAAACTCTTAAGATCAAGTTTATAGAAATGGAAACAATGAAAAAGAAAGAACAAGAGTTGAGCGGCGCCTCCTTCTTCTTGGACGATCTCCTAGGGCTTCTCTTCTCTTCTCTCTCTCTCACACGTGAACTCTTTGTAATTTTACTGGACTCGATCGGATCTCTCTCTTCTTCAGCGGCTAAAAACATGTATATATGGGCGAAGTCGCGTAGGGTTTTCTTCATGCCGGAAAAGGAAAGTTTCCATGCGAGCCTTCTTCTCCACGTCGTGTATGGGCCGACATTGTACCAAGGAAAGCTCCAAACATTAGCCAGGCCTCTTCTCTATTCGATCAAGGCCTTTGGCGCTGCTGCTCGGGCCATTAGACACTCCAAATCCTCCATGGGCTTCGTTTACTCGCTTACCGGACATGTCTCGGTAGAAAATAAGTCTAGGCCTCATAGTTGATCCAAATGGCTTCATTCCACTTCGACGTGATGCATGACTCAAGTATCTATCTTTCCATATCAAGATCGTAACTTTTGGACGTCGGGAACTCCTCCGCGCGCGGCCAAACTTCCGAAGCTTCGTTCTGCGCGCAGCGAGAACTAACACTTGGAGATAAAATGATCTTCTTGACTTGGAAACTTGCATGGATCTTGATTTAGGGCTCTTTTACTCCTTTTTGCATCCTTTTTGATTATTTCACCTACAAAGACTTCAAATCCCACAAATACAAGAAAACTACCTCTAAAGGCAAAGAATCTTGCAAAAACCGTTTGAAAACATAGTAATTATATAGTAAAATCATGTAAAATATGGTGATATCAGTTACTCTGTTCCCACTCGACTCGAGTCCTTGGTCGAGCTGTTGCTCTACTGCTTTATTTACTTATTGCATTGCATTTCTGTTTCATTAGGTTGTTAGTGTTACCACCATTTATTACTGCTTGCTTGACTTCTTTGTTTCATATTCTCATAGAGTGACAATTCACCCATTTTGGATTGATACCCTTATACTATAATGACTATGATGGTTAAGGGAATTGTTGACTGTGATTGTGTTTGCATCTTACCACCTCATCTTATATACCACTGTTGCATTCCACCACATTCATTTCATATCATATCACACCCACACACAAATCCTATCATCAATTTGGCGCCGTTGCCGATTTGGGATATTTTGTTGCATTTGAGTTTCAATACACTTGGACGATCAAGCTATACCACCCCTGTTCTTTGTACTGCTGGGTTTTTGTCTCTTTTTGCAGGTGTATGCGAACTCGATCGAGTCGGTCAACAGAAGACTTGGTCGAGCTAGACTTCAACGGGTAGAAAGAGAAGTTCAGAGGACTCAGAGGGTACAAGAGGAACCTGAGGTGCTTGTTACTGATACAATGGATGTACCAGAGGGGAATGGAAACCCTTTGGGCAATGGACTCGGTCGAGCTAGGCAAACTCGACCGATTGGTCTAGGAGATGCTCCAAACCGCCACCAACAGAGACAAGGGATTGTTCCACCACCAGTGCAGAACCACAACTTTGAGATCAAGCTGGGAATGATCAACCTTGTCAGAACAAGATGTTCCATGGATTGCCAAGTGAAGACCCCATTGACCACCTTGATGAGTTTGATAGGCTTTGTGATTTGACAAAGATCAATGGTGTCTCTGAAGATGCCATCAAGCTGAGACTCTTTCCTATGTCTCTAGCTGACAAAGCTCACCAATGGGAGAAGAGCTTGCCCCATGGCACAATCACCACTTGGGATGAATGCAAGAAGGCCTTTCTTGCTAAGTTTTTCTCCACCGGTCGCACAATGAGACATTTGAGTTGAAGCTTGGGAGAGGTTCAAGAGCTACACAAGTCAGTGCCCACATCATGGATTCAACAATGAATCTACTCTCTACTCTTTATAGAGGATGCTTGGCAAGGTATAGAGAGATGTTGGACACAGCCAGCAATGGGAACTTCCTTAATCATATGTGAATGATGGCTGGCAGCTTGTGGAAAACATTGCAACTCCAATGGAAGCTATGGAGAAGAGTATGATCGCACCAACCAGAACTCGACCCACCACTCGAGTCGGATGAGAAATTGAGAAAAGATGTTGATATACCCATATCTTTCATGTTTTTATCAAGGTTTTCACTATGTTTTTAATACAAATAATGTGGTTTTTAGCCCAAGAGGTAGTTTTCTTGTATATTCTGGTTTTGAGCATCATTCAGGTCAAAATAGCAAAGAAGAGTCCAAAATGGAGCAAAAAGAGTCAAATCACCAAGTTCCCAAGTCTAGAGCACCAAATCTACATTTCTCGCTAAAGACCAAACCGGAGCATCCGAAGTACGACCGCATATTCATGCCTTCCCGACGTCCAAAAGTCATGATTCTTATATGGAAAGATAGATATTTGAGTCATGACCCGCGGCGAAGTGGAAAGAGGTCATTTGGATCACTCGTTGGACCGGAACTTATTTTCTACCAAGACATGTCCGACGAGCGCCTAAGTAGAGCCCATGGAGACTTTGATGGATCAAGAGGCCCGAGATACCGCGCCCAAGGCCTTGGCTCATCTTGACACTAGCATAACTCAATCCAGAAGCTTCCATTGGCCTGAACGCGGCCCATTCAAGAACTTGGAGAGCAAGCTCAAGCGGCTAAAGAGAAATGGAAACTTTCCTCTTCTGCGCGCGCTCAACTTTGCCGACCTAGACCCGCTCTCTACCTATATATACTTGCTTTTAGCCTCTTGTAATAAGAATCACCAGCCGCATAACAAGAAACACTTATTCAATAAAGTTCGGAGCCACTTAGGTGGTCTCCTTCTTCTTTCTTTTCTTCTTTTGCATTTGTATATAGCTTGCATGTTTCAATTTATATAGTCTAGAAGTAGAGATTTCTCCCTAAGGGTGAGGCGTGGTTTAGTCCATATTCCGCCGCCTCTCTCTCTAAGGATTCATGAGACTTCATCTACTATCTAAGACTCATTGTTGAATTATGGATCCTTCCAATGAGGACGTGATATAATGGCCATCGAAAATCGATTGTTAAAAGGGGAAACCCTATGGTTCTCCATCTTTATTTATGCTTAATGCTTGTTGCTAGAGTAGCTAACTAGTGACTTGATTTTAGGTTGATATACTCTCCAAAAGCTTGTTATATCTCCGGATATATTTGATGGGCAAATCGTTTTAGGCTACGAAAGTAGACCTAAAGAGTTTTGTGAACAATCATTACTTGGATGTAATGCATGTCTCACTCTACAATGACCAACGAAAGCTGAGCCCATTGGTTTAAGAGACATAGGGGATTGGAACCACGAAAGTGGAATAATCCTTCCTTAGTGTTTTGAGTTCAAAAGAATCGGATTTTAACAAACTTTTCAATCGACTTGGCTCATGTTTTCAAAAGAGTTTTCAATAGTTCAATAATGTTGCTTGTATAGAATTGCATTGTTATTTCTTTTGCGTGTTCTAAACAAACACAAACCCTTGCATCTTTTGATTTAGCTTAGTCATTTAAACTCTATGATTATGTAATGTGTGAAATCCAATCCCTTGTGGTTCGACCCCTAAATACTACAATTATATGTTGTGCACTTGCAACACTAGTTGTCTTAGGGAATTATTACTTGTACTCATCCCATAGATGCCGCATCAAGTTTTTGGCGCCGTTGCCGGGGATTGCATCATAAACACTTGCATAGTCTTGTTTAAAACTAAGTCTAGATCTTGGTATTTTCGAATACTAACTTTTTCTTTTAAATCTTGTGTTTATAGGTACTTGGAGATGAATCACAACACCAACATCCACTTTGGGAACCGGACACTGATCCCACACGATCTCCACGGCCGGAGTTACCAAGACCCAGCCGTAAGCATCGTGCCACATCCGTTCCCTCCCAACCGCGCTCATCCGACGTTTGAAGGACCTAGCCGAGACGAGCATCATTACCATCATCATCAAAACCGACCTCCGGTTTATCATCAACCACCTAGACCAGTGTTGCATTCACACCACGACCATGTTCTCAATAGGCGGAGAGATAGCCATTTCGATGCCGTGCTTGAGGGTTTCATGGAGAGCCAAAGAAAACTAGCCGCGACATTGAGACAAAGCTAGAGTTCACGCGATACGAACTAGATGGAAGACTTGGAGAACTCTCTACCCAAATAGAGAGAGTAGAGTCAAGATGCTTGGACATGGAGGAAGATTTGAAGAAGCAAGGCGAGGCCATTGAAGACAATAGGAGAGCGATACACTTTACCAAAGTTTCTACCAAGGAGATGGACAATCACTTAGATGAGAAGATCTCAAGTCTTGATAACAACCTCGATGGCACCACCAAGAGTCTCAATTCAATAACAGCAGTAGCTCATCAAGCTAAGAGGGAGGTAGCCGAAGTAACCCTAAAGGAGAGGCAATGTTACTCGACGATGCTTACATTGGTGGAAGGGCAAAAACAAGTGAAGGCACAAATCCGAGATTTACACATCTCTCTAGACAAGAGGAGCCAAGATATTCAAAGAAGAGCTAGAGGGCTTGAAGACAAAGTAGATGGAGTCTCCAAGGAAGTCAAGGATTTAACCACTCGCTTAGCCAACTTGGAAGAGAAGGTCTTGACCGAGCAAAGACGACCGTTCCTAAGCACAACCATGCCGCGCCCGTCTTTACTATAAGAGAGACCGACCCAAGAGTGATTTGGGATGAAGAAGAAAGTAGAGCTGATCAAGAAAGAGCCACAAGGCTAACCACTGGAACAAGAGAGAAGATAGCACCAAAAGGAAGAACCCTTACTCAAAGGTCTTCACAACCGCCTCCCACCAAGGAGAAGAGGAAGACAAGATCATCACTTGAAGAGATCATAGATGATTTCAACTTTATGGCGAGGAGATTCCCTTATGGTGTGCCGTTTGATAATGCTTGCAACAAGAGTCCATTCATGCAAGACCTAGCTTGGACACAAGATTGGAGTCTAGCTGAATTGGAAAAGATGTACGAGGAAGCAAGAAAGGGGATGCCTAAACCTAGGTTTCTACACAAGCTTCATGACCCAGGTTACTTCCTTATACATTTCTCTATCAATGGAAGCTACTTTGATGATGCTCTTTGCGATTCCGGTTCTAGTGTGAACCTTATGCCGGCCGAGATAGCCAAGAAGTTGGGATTGATCAATTCAATTGTGAAATCTCGAATGGATTTAAAGCTAGCTGATTCATCATTGACCGAACCACTTGGAGAGGTTAAAGACATTCAGCTTGATTTTGGAGGCTGCATAGTTCCAGCCAACTTCTATGTAGTAACCATGAAGGATCCGGAGGACTTAAAGCTTTTGCTTGGAAGATCATTCCTAGCCACAGCTGGAGCGATCATGGATTGGCCTAATAGAAGAATCTCTCTAGCCAATGTTGACAAGGACACCTTCTACGATGCTGCACCTCCCGGTTTCTCATCCAAGCGATTTCGCTACACAAGTGGAGGAGAGTGCTCACAAGTAAGAGGAGAGTCGCATGGCTACTTGATCAAGGAAGTTCTACAGGACAAGATGCACTTGGAATCATCAGGCAACAGGAAGTTCTTGGAGCCACCAATCCTACCTAACTAAGAACACAAAGGAGTCGAGCTACAAAGACTTAAAACAAGCGCTTGTGGGAGGCAACCCACATTTTCTTATCCCTTCCTCTTTTTATTTTTGTTTTTATTTTTATAACTACTTATTTGTTCTATTTATAACTCTTAAATTTTTGAGAGTTTAATAAATTTTACAAAAATAAAATAAAAAGTGTTTTAGGAAAAAGTACCAAAAAGGAGGCTTACATGAAAAATGCATTGGAAAAGCTACATCGCCACCAATCGGCCCAAGGATCAACCATCTTTGGTCTAAGTGAAGCATTGAGTCTAGTTTGAGTCCCACCCAAGTCCCACCCATGTTTCAAGAAGCAAAGAAGTCCAAGAAGGGCCGCGGCACAACAAAATCCGGCCATTGGAACACTATTGCACAAGGCAAAGGTAAGTATCACTTCCATTCTTATGTCATTTCTTTTAAACACTATCTCTATCAAATTAAACCATACACTACTTGGATTCTGATCAAGATCCAAGTACATATGGTTTCACGATCAAGTCTTTGATTGGGAAGTTCAAACTATTTTGAACAACTCAATCATTGACAGAGTTTAACAAAGAGTTACTAGTGTTTTTCAGATATAAAACATGACAGGAAAGACCGGTTCAAAATATCATACAAACATGGCGCGCAAAGGAAGCCACAACCGGCCAAAGGAGGATTTACATGCCAAACATGAGAGATGAGGGAAATCCAACCACAATTCAATCCAGGAGGGATAGAAAAACAGTTCGGTCGAAGCAGAACTCAATTGGCCCGAGTAAAAAGGAGATATCACATTCACAACCACTCTCTCGGCCAGAATCGACGAACCAAGCGACAATGCTCGACCATCTCCCAAACGGCACGACCGAAGTCCACCAAACTTCACAGGCGACCTCAAAACATCATTTTGGTCGGCAAATCCAAAAGATAGGACGAGAAAAAGTGCCTGCTACGTGAGATAGACGAAGGAAGCTCAATACGGCCGACGGCGATGCATAGAATGGCCGACGAACTCAAAACCTCAAGAAGGCGCGAACACCGGTGGAAACTGATCCTCTGGAGTCCAAAAAACACCAAGGAAGAAGAAAGGAAGGAGACGATCGAACAGATAAAGATGGCCAAAGGAATCACATCCCGAGCCATTGGCGCGCACGACGAAAGATCTCCGAATCCACACGTTCAAATCGCCTCAAACTTCACAAGGAGCCACAAAACATAAGGTTGGTCGATGAAATTCATTTCAGTACAATGAATTCCTTACAATTCAAGAGATGGCCGATGGAGTGAAATTTGGCCGATCGCGAGCAAGTAAAATGGCCGACAATCCAAATCACGGCATTTACCGCGGCCACCGGCTCAAATCACCTCCATCAAGCATCCACATCGCATCTAAAGAAGAAAATCCAGATTGGAACGAGCAGAATTGGAGAAGACCGAAGGAAGACGTTCCCGGAGCCAATTTGAAAATTTTTCAAAGGAGATCTCAAACCACTCGTTCAAACGACCCCAAACTTCACCAGTCGCCATATTATACAATATTGGTCGACGAAATTTCAAGATAGGTCGAGGAAATCTTCACGGTTCGAGCTGTAGTCCATACCATCACCATCCGGTCGACCAAAACGGACCAGTCTCGGCCAAAAAGGCGAAAAACAGAAAACCAAGGGAGAATTGTCACATTCATCCAACCAAATCCAACAGCTATGACGTTTGCACCAGTCAGTTCATTCCTGGAAGCAACCAAAAGCACAACCGATCTTCACATCAAAGGCCAAAAATTTGGGTACAATTTTCTACAAACTCTAACTTTTCCATTCTATTTATCATTACCTCTCTTAATTGGATTTTTCTTACACCGAGACGGTGCAAGTTAAGTCTGGGGGGATTACTAACAAGTTTGTTCTTTTTGAATTTCATTGAGTCGTTTTATTGAGTCAAAATTTTGTCAAAGGATTATGACCTTATCTTGGATCTAACCATTGTTGTGCTAACGTTTAAGTGACCATTGAAGCAGTCTTGGCAATACATCTTACCACAGGGACACTATGAGTTGATCGATCTACCAAAAACGCCCACACCTCCAAGGACTTGAGAAGGATCCACTCTTGACTCCGCCCTTAATGAACTTAATCTTCTCAGCTAGGGGCTTGGCATACAAATGGCATGATTCCTCATCCTCTCCATCAAATGAAAAAGTCTTAGTGAGTTCGTGCTTCCCTCTCTCTCCCCTTCAAATTTAAAGAAAAAGCGTAAGGTCCAAGTAACCGGGGATTCGGTGGCAAACACCATCAATACTCGCGTCTATGGAAGGCCTATGAATCCAAGCAACCGGGGATTCGGTGGCAAACACCATCAATACTCGCGTCTGTGGAAGATCCAAGCAAAACCTCTATAATAAAGAGAAGGAGTTGAATAAAAAAATACTTCGCTACCCTAAAAAAGGGATGATCAACTCAAAGAAGTGAGAAGAGAGAGAGGAGAAACATGGAGTAAAAAGACAAGTGCCAAAACAAGGGGATGAGTAAGAGTCTAAAGCCGGCTGATCGATACTCCCTAGTTGAGACCACACCTTTAGAAATGAAAGGAGTCAAGGAGGGTGAATTGGATTGTCCAAAGAGAGGTGGGCCGCCTTGGAAAAATCGCAAAACTCATGGTATGTACTCTTGTTCTTAATTCAAATATTTGCCTCTACTACTTTCATGTGGATTACTAAAACCAAGCCAACCCGGATTTCCTAATGATTTGAGAGTTCTTGCGTTTTCAAACCTCTCTTCCTCTCTTAGTTTGCTTGGGGACAAGCAAAAGGCTAAGTCTGGGGGAGTTGATATACCCATATCTTTCATGTTTTTATTTTTCAATACAAATAATGTGGTTTTTAAGCCCAAGAGGTAGTTTTCTTGTATATTCTGGTTTTGAGCATCATTCAGGTCAAAATAGCAAAGAAGAGTCAAAATGGAGCAAAAAGAGTCAAATCACCAAGTTCCCAAGTCTAGAGCACCAAAATACATTTCTCGCTAAAGACCAAACCGGAGCATCCGAAGTACGACCGCATGTTCATGCCTTCCCGACGTCCAAAAGTCATGATTCTTATATGGAAAGATAGATATTTGAGTCATGACCCGCGGCGAAGTGGAAAGAGGTCATTTGGATCACTCGTTGGACCGGAACTTATTTTCTACCAAGACATGTCCGACGAGCGCCTAAGTAGAGCCCATGGAGACTTTGATGGATCAAGAGGCCCGAGATACCGCGCCCAAGGCCTTGGCTCGTCTTGACACTAGCATAACTCAATCCAGAAGCTTCCATTGGCCTGAACGCGGCCCATTCAAGAACTTGGAGAGCAAGCTCAAGCGGCTAAAGAGAAATGGAAACTTTCCTCTTCTGCGCGCGCTCAACTTTGCCGACCTAGACCCGCTCTCTACCTATATATACTTGCTTTTAGCCTCTTGTAATAAGAATCACCAGCCGCATAACAAGAAACACTTATTCAATAAAGTTCGGAGCCACTTAGGTGGTCTCCTTCTTCTTTCTTTTCTTCTTTTGCATTTGTATATAGCTTGCATGTTTCAATTTATATAGTCTAGAAGTAGAGATTTCTCCCTAAGGGTGAGGCGTGGTTTAGTCTATATTCCGCCGCCTCTCTCTCTAAGGATTCATGAGACTTCATCTACTATCTAAGACTCATTGTTGAATTATGGATCCTTCCAATGAGGACGTGATATAATGGCCATCTTGAATCGATTGTTAAAAGGGGAAACCCTATGGTTCTCCATCTTTATTTATGCTTAATGCTTGTTGCTAGAGTAGCTAACTAGTGACTTGATTTTAGGTTGATATACTCTCCAAAAGCTTGTTATATCTCCGGATATATTTGATGGGCAAATCGTTTTAGGCTACGAAAGTAGACCTAAAGAGTTTTGTGAACAATCATTACTTGGATGTAATGCATGTCTCACTGCCGATCGAGCTTGTTGTGCGAGCTCAGCTGGTGAAGTGTGAAGGGCCACAGTAGGTGCTTGCACTTATTTTTGATCAATCTGTACTCCAGGAGCCTCAGCAACAACAATCTAATCATCATTCAGCAGTAAACAAAACTCTTCCATGACTCTCTTTTGATCCTCCTCTTCAGCAAGACCTTCTTGAGTGAAGATGACCTTGCACTGTTCCTTGGGGTTCTGAATTGCTTTACGAGGTAGTTGTCCTTGCTTTGTAGCAGCAGCAACAGAAGAAGCATGATTCTCCAGAGAGTAAACTCCTGTGTTGAGATTCTCGATCTTGGAGTTGATGTAAGCTAGCTTTTTGCTTGTGTCCACTACACCATCAGCTTGCCCTTGAAGTAGTTGTTTCAGCATAGCTTTCAGCTCATTCTCTTGCGTGGGAGCAGGCTGGGGTGGTTGGTGGGGAAAGCCAGGTGGTATGTTGATGATAGGATTTTGTGTGGATGTGATATGATATGAATGAAGATGATAAGATGAGGTGGAATGCAAACAGGGTGAATAAAGATGAGATGGTGCAATCACAATCAATCAATTCCTCTTAACCATCATAGTCATGTAGTACAAGAGGTTATCAATCCAAAATGGGAAACTTGTCACTCTATGAGAATATGAAACAACAAGGAAGTCAAGCAAGCAGTAATAGATTTGAAGTAACACTAACAACCTAAATGAAAGAAATGAAATGCAATAAAAGTAAATAAAGCAGTGAAGTACAGCTCGACCAAGACTCGAGTCGAGTCAGAACAAGTACCAGCTCGATCGAGTTTAGGGACGAGTTGAGACAAACAGCTAAAGGTGACGACTTTAACAAGATAAGAGAGAATTAGGGTTCAAGACAGGGTTTTGCAATCAGAGGAATCTACACTTAATCAATCTAGCTCTTAAAACTCCTTGTATCAAGGCTTCTCTTGATATTGGGCTTCTCAATGCCTAGCCAACCCTTTCCCAAGGTGAAGGCTATCAACCAAGGAATGATCTCAGAAACAGGGGGTTAGCCAGTGAGAATCAAACCTTGGAGGCCATAGGATCATTGCCCAAACTAATCCATCCAACCCCTTAGACCTCTATTTCTAGAGCAAGAGATATTGGAGCTCTTAGTGGATCTTTTCCAGCGAATGCCATCACTTCGTGTGGGGAATCGCCTAAGGACTTACAAGCCAGGGGTAGTGGTCATGTAGCCTTAAGATCTATCCAAAAGAGAGAGAATCTAGATTAAGACCATAAGCTAGAAGGATTAAGCATATGAAACCTCTAATCTATCCCATCTCAAACCCTAATGGGTAACTACTCACTACACATGAATGTAAACACAAGCAAATGCAATAAAAGAGACATCATAAGAAAGAGGAGATGAAATTAAACAACTTTTATTGAAATAAGCAAGTGCAAATACAAAGAGATTATCCAGGATCTAGGATTCAAGAAGCAAGAGCTTCAAGAACACAAAGATGGGATTAGAGCTCTAAAAAGTAAAAGACAATAAATTAAAAGAAACTAAAACAAAATAATCTAAAGCTTGGTGGTTTTTTCGTGGCTTAGAGCCTTTAAATACAAAGAGGATTAGGTTTAGGGTCAAAGGAAAGTCAAGGGGGAAGCAACATTTTTCGGGTTTGACTTTGACTTCTCAGCTCGATCGAGTTGAAGCTTGGCCGGTCGAGTTGAGGAACTCGACCGGTTGGTCGAGTAGGGGTCGAGCTGGTCTTCAAGATGGCTTCTCCCTTCTTCCTTTGCGTATCCAGTTGAGCTGCGTCCATGTGCCAAGTCCCTCCATGCTCCTCACGTCCCATATGCTCCAGAATGCTCCAAAAGACCTATTTCAAAGGACCAAACATGCATATGTATGCAAATGCAACCTAAAACTACATGAATGCATAAGAAGAGAAAAGGAACAAGATATGATGCAAATGGATGCTAAAACTATGCAAAAGATGCATAAAAGATGTGCTAAAACTATGTAAAATGCAAGTACATCAACACCCCCAAACTTGAACTTTGCTTGCCCTCAAGCAAACAAATAGAACAAGAAAGAGATGAGGTTTGAAAAAAGCTGATTCAACACTTAAAAACATGTCCTCAAAAGCGATTTGCTAAATGTCCAACTTAGAGATTCTAGAATGCAACAAGGTGAGAGATATTCATTAAGATTTAACCATGCTTATCAACATCAATCCCACTTCACAGTCACTCAAACAATGCATTCAAATCAGCAAATCCCTTTAACATTCATTAAGCAAAAACAGTGAACCAAAAACATGCAAGATCAATCAACTCATTTGGTTTCAAGGGTTTATGGGTTAAGAGACAAAGAGGGTCTCTTTTGTATGGTGGTTTAGTAACAGGGATCTCTCAAGAAAGTGGCTTTGCTTTGGCAGAAGGCTAAGTGTTAGAACCAAAGATGATGCAAGAACAGCAGCTCGAGCCGCCTAATCCTAACTCGATCGAGTTCAACACTTAGAGCTTTTTAGAACAAAATCCTAACTACCCTTTTTGGCATTTCGCCTTTGAAACTGAGGAGCTTTGCTCACTTTTCTTTTAAGAACTTCCTAGGGAGAGGCTTCTTGAGGTAACATCTAGCGGTTTGGGATTTTCTAAACACTTAGGGAACTTTTCTTTCTTTTTGACACTTGAGGCTTTGCCTTCTTTTCATTCTACTTAGAACCCTTTTTACTTCCTTTTTTAACTTCCCAAACCTTTACTAGACCCTTTTTAACACTGCCAACTCCCTGGACTTAACTAAACTCTTTTTCCTTTGGGTTTTCCCAACTTTTACCACTTTTCTGGTTTTTACACCCAACTCGATCGAGCTCGAGTTGGCACCCCCAAACTTAGCCTGAAAACAATCCCAAGAGAACTAGACAACTAGAACTACTGCCCCTGCCGGTTTAAACACAACACCTTATGCTAAGCAAAGCCAAGAAAGGTTCTCACATTCGCACAAGAGATAATATGGGGTTTGAAATGAAAAGGCTTAGGTTTAAGGTGTGGTAACTGTCTCAAAGATAGAGATCAGCTATCTGGACAAGCAAAAGGGATATGAAAATGGTAAAGAATGTCCAGATATGTATGTGGTAGCCATGAGTTGAAATCAAATGCAAGCATTGGTAATTAAAGATCAAGTTATGGTTCAAATAGATAGGGAAATGCATCAAATCACAGCAATGGTTGAATGAGATGTGCATGCAGTGATATGATCAAGATAAACATGGTTCTTGCTGCTCAATCAATCTCACCCTAATGCACAAAAGAATCTAAAAACAGGGCACTCAAGAAATCGCAAAAGATGACAAGTTTTCAAAGTCAAATCAACAATGCAAGTGAAAATGCAATCCTAAACAAGTCTAACAAATATGAATGCAAAAAGATGAAAATATTTTTGGATTTTTTGAAAATTTTATGATTTTTTTGGTTTTTCTATGCAAAAGATGAATGAAAAACTAAGAACAAAGAAAACAAGGTTAAATCATCTCTTGAACCCTCCCCCAAACTTAAATCACACAGTCCCTTGTGTGAGAAAAATTTAGTGAAAGATTCAAGAGGGCAAAACCAAGAAAAAACAAAACAAATGCAAGAAAATATGAAATGGTATATACAAGGGTTGGTGTTTGGATACCTCAGTGCCCCCCAAAGAACTGGGAGGCTAGGTCGTGGTCTGGAGATGGTAGACGGCCATCAGGAGCACTCCACTCGACTGGGTTCGCTCACTCGATCGAGCTTGCGGCTCCTCTCTTCTCTTCTTCATCTTCAAAGTGTGTGTGGCTCCCTTGGCCTTGGTGGAGCTGGCTTGCTCGAAGCTGTGTAGGGGTCCAGTCTGGAGAAGTCCTGGTAAGGCGTTGGATCGTACTCGAAATCCCGGGTCTCAAACTGGGGCTCCTCCAGGTCAACTCGACCGTCAGCTCGATCGAGTTGAGTTTCCTCTGTTTGGACTCGATCGAGTCCGGTGGTCGAGCTGGAGCGTCTGGCCTTGGAGTCTTCCTCCTTCTCTGCGTGTTGTCTTCTCCTTCCCTTGGCTCGAAAGAAGAGGCTCTGTGAGGCTCTTGGGCAGGGAGCCTCCTTGGAGTGGTGAGGAGTGATCTACTCCTAGGGAATGTGGGGGCCTTGGGACCTTCTTCTTCTTGCTTGAAGAACCAGAAACCTTCTTCTCCAAACTTTTGATCTTGCTCACCATCTTGTCCATGGACTTTTGCATCTTTCATGGCTTTCCCTTGCCATTTGTTGAACTTTTGGAGAAGTCCAATCCTCTTGTGGGCAGCCACAACAGAGGGGTTCATCCTTGGAGCCTCATACTCCTCAAAATAATAGCACTCAGGCTCACCCAAATCCGCACTCTCCTGGACTGATCTTCAGCTTGATCTCAGCTCGATCCTCAGCTCGATCGAGCTCAGGCTCCTCTTCTCGCAAATCATCCTCATGCCCAACTAATGTGTACACAGGGGGTCTGAAGTCAATGTTCTCACCCCTACTACTGTGGTGAGCTCTGGGTTGGGCAGGAGAAGCTTGGAGGGCCAGCCAATGGATGTGTGAACTTGAATTGGAATCTCCCATCCAACTCCTTGTGCTCAATGAGAGGTTGGTCTTGCAAAACTTGATGTCCATCCAACCTGGTTCAGTGGCTTCTATCTTGTTCACTCCAGCTGCACAAGATAGGTGTGATGACCCTCCAACACTTAGCCTTCCCTTTGATGCTAGTGTTGTAGGCTGTGATCTTGTAGGAGAGAGCTGGTCAAGGAAAGGCATCAGTTCCCTGTGTGATCTCTCCCTCTGATCCTCTTGCCATCCTTGTGCGTGAGATGATGGGCTTGATTCCCATGTCAAGAGCTTGACCTCCCTCATTGATTGTCCCGGTGCCTTCCTTGCAAAGAAGGTGTTGGCAAGTGCCTTGTGCACATATCTCAAGCACTGGGCTCCTGATCTGAGCAGCCTTGGACCTTGAGGAAGAGTACACTCCATCAGCGATTGTAGCCCAAACCTTTGGAGTTCCTTTTCCTTGAAGTTCCACTTGGTTCCCTTCTCCATAGTTGAACCCAAACAAGATCTCCAAGCTGCCTAAAGGTCACCATCTCTTCTCTCCCTTAGCCAAGAACGTGATCCATCCCAATCCTTGGTCCAAATCAGCTCGATCGAGCTTCATACATGTGGTACCTCATTGAAGCCAAAAACTCACAAGTGAGCTCCTTGTAGGACTCCATGTGAGAGAAGAACTTGGCCAAGTGCATGTTCTTGAGACCAACTCCACATCCTCAAAGATTCCAAGGGCCTTCATTGTGTCATCATGTGGGTACTTGGTCTCACAAAGTCCATGGAGAAGAGAGCATTGTAGTGCTCTTGGTACATAGGGAGCTCATCCTCCTCTTCTCTGCTCAGCCTCCTCCATGGCTCATCTTGGTTCTCTTGCTCACTTCATCAACCAATTGATTCACCTCTTCTCCTTCCTCTTCACTCTCAGTCTCATCACTTCCTTCTTCATTTGGAGAGCCATTTCCCTCCTCTTGAACAAGGTTCACTCCAATCTCAAACTCCTTGCTCACTCTCACTACTAATGGGGTCATTCCTCTTCTTGGTCCTCCTTTCTTCCCTCAATCTCTCACTCTCAGACTCTCCTCAGAGTAGACATATCCTCTGCATCAGACTCTTCCATCCTTTGATCATCCTCTCCAAATCGGCTTGCATCTTAAGCCTTCTTTCTCTTGCATTGCTTGATTCCCTCAACCATTCTCCTCTGTGAAGCGACTTCCCTCACTGTTTGTCATCTTGTTACACTGTTTCTTCACTAAAGTACCTGAAATGCATCAAAGATTACAAAGAATTAGAGTTGTAATGATCGGTTTGGTCAACTCGACACTCAGCTCGATCGAGTCAAAAAACTCGAGTGACAAACTCGATCGAGCTAGGTGAAAACAGAGTATAACCGAACCTAATTCAAGTATTAAGAGCTGGAAAGGATGCTAATCAATCAAATTGAACCAAGAACAACTAGTAAATGGAACAATGAGCAATTCTAGTGAAAACATAAGCATCTTAACCAATACCAAACTCAAATTCAATTTTCAAGCACATGCAACAAGTTCTAATGGCAAAACAGAGGTGAGGTGAGGCAAATTCACAAGATTATACAAATATGAGCAGAAAGAAAGCAATTACTCAAGAACAACCCACAAGGGACACATGCAATCAAAAATCAAAGAGAAACAAGCAATAAGGAAATCGAGATGGAAATCAAGGGTTTTAGGGTTCATACCTTGCTTGAATGATGAATTGAAGAGCAGTAAACTAAAACCCAAAGCAAACAATGAAGAACAAAGAAATCGCAAAAACTTAAGAGAGAGAGATTGAAATTCGATTTTTCTTGTGGTGAAGAGAGAGAGAGATGAGTTTCAGAAATTTTAAGTGTGGGAGAGAGAGAGTGGGATTCGATCGAGTTATGGGGAAGAGGGAGTGTTTGAGATGTGTGGTTGAGATTAAAAGATGAAATAAAGGGGACAAAAGCTAGGGTTTTTCTGATCAATTAGGGTAGTGGGGGACCAAAATAACTTGTGGGACCCACTCCCTTGACCAAGAAAACGGTTAAATTTGAAATTCAAAAACTTACCTTGGTCGAGTTGTGGAACTCGATCGAGTTGCCCTGGTTTCTAGCTCGATCGAGCTGTCGGTCGAGCTGGCTCCTTTGTCACCTAAACTTAACTTATTGAAAGGTTAAAACATAAAATAGATAGAAATTGCATAAATAGAATATGTACAAGGATAAACATGGGACTTCCTCCCAAGTGAGCTTGTTTAAGGTCCCATAGCTTGACCTTTACCTTCTTAGGCATTGGTTGAGCTAGTCCCACCATCAAGGGTGATAGTGAGGACTTGAGACAGAAGCTCCTTTAGCTTGGTTGGGTCCCTGGACTGTTCTGAAGTCACCAAGGCCTTGGCTCTAGAGAATGGCCTTGATCTCCCCTTGTACCTTATCTTGTACTCAATCTTCCCATTTTCAAACTTGGTGGGGAACAAAGTCATTGTGAGCTGAGATGGCTTGATGAAGGGGCCTGAGCTGGTGGATCCTTTCTTTTATCCCTGGTCTTGCCTTAGAGGCTACATCCTCCCCTTCTTTTAGAGCCCTTCCTAGTGGCTCATCAAACAAAGCTTGAAGGCTCTCTTCATCAAGCACACAAGGGGCTTGAACAAGTCTATCAGCTCGTGGCCTATCAGAACGTGGTTTCTCAACTCTAGCCCTCTCAAGACGTGGCTTCTCAATCCTTGGTCCTCTCTCATCCTTATCCTTCCCAACTCTTGGTTCTTTGTCAACCCTTTCCTTCACAACCTTTGTAGCTCATGACTCTTAGAACTGAGAGTGGTACTGTCAATTGTGGCACAAAAGTCTGAACCTCTAGGCTGCAAGCGATATGACACCAAACTATTCACCTTGTGAAGGATCACTTCTTGCTTGTGAAAGTCTATTGAAGCGCCAACTGTACTAAGGAATGGGGTTCCCAATAACAGAGGTAGATCCTTCTCTTCTTCCATTTCCATCACAGTAAGATCAGTTTGGATGATGCATTCTCCAATTTTCAAGTGATAGTTCTTGAACACTCCAAGAGGAGACTTAGAAGTTGCATCTCCAAACATGATTGAAGTAGTAGGGCGCTGCAAGGCTCCAGCAATGCCTAGCTTCTCTGCCATGGAGAGAGAGATCAGATTGATGCTTGCTCCAGAATCCACTAAGGCATTGTCAAGCTCAAGATGCCCAAGTGTGCAAGGGAGAGTGAATTTCCCTTGATCCTTGACCTTTGGTAGGAAGGTGGGTGAAGTAAGCAGGTTGAACTGATGAGTAGACTCTTCAGGACCTCTGAAACTTTATCACTGTTGGCTAGAACATCCTTGACCATTTGCATTTGATCAAATGCCTCACTCATGCTATCCATAGGAGGCAACTCAATTCCAATCCCACTGAGATCTCTTCTGAACTTGTGAATCACTTCCTTGTGACCTTGACTAAGTAGGCGAGACGAGGAAGTGGCAACCGGTTGGTAAGGATCAAGCAAAATGGTTTGGGACAGAAGAGGTCGGACTCGATCGAGCTAGAGTTCGACTCGATCGAGCTGCCGATCGAGCTTGTTGTGCGAGCTCAACTGGTGAAGTGTGAATGGCCACAGTAGGTGCCTGCACTTCTGGTTGATCAATCTGGACTCCAGGAGCCTCAGCAGCAACAATCTCTTCATCATTCAGCAGTAAACAAAAATCTTCAATGACCCTTTCTTGATCCTCTTCTTCAACAAGTCCTTCTTGAGTGAAGATGACCTTGCACTGTTCCTTGGGGTTCTGAATAGCTTTACCAGGTAGTTGTCCTTGCTTTGTAGCAGCAGCAACAGAAGAAGCATGATTCTCCAGAGAGTAAACCCTTGTGTTGAGATTCTCGATCTTGGAGTTTATTTCAGCTAGCTTCTTGCTTGTGTCCACTACCCCATCAGCTTGCCCTTGAAGTAGTTGCTTTAGCATTGCCTTGAGCTCATTCTCTTGTGAAGGTGCAGGCTGGGGTGGTTGGTGGGGAAAGCCTGGTGGATATTCATTTGTTGTCCAGGGAAAGTGCCTTGGGTCCTTGGTAATTGTTCTTTTGACCATACCCATGTTGTGGCTTGACTCGATCGAGCTGCTTGTTGTTGAGGATAGACTTGGTCCTGAGGGTTAGCAACATCAGTGTTGCGGTATGACATGGCAGGGTTGGACTTGTAATTATAGTATCCTTTGTTGTAACCTCCTTGCCCATTGCTCATGTAGCACACCTCAGCAAATTGTGTATCCTCCCCTTCTTGGACTGGTTCCATCTCCTCAGCAGACACAAAGTTGACTTTCTTCATTGTGGACTGAGCTAGATCAGCTTATCCAACTTCTCATTCAATGCCTTAACATCTTTTCTCAACTTTTCGTCTGACTCGATCGAGTGGTGGGTCGAGCTCCGATTGGTGCGATCATACTCTTCTCCATAGCTTCCATTTGAGTTAGCTATGTTCTCCACAAGTTGCCAGCCATCATCTACATCCTGGTTGAGGAAGTTCCCATTGCTAGCTGTGTCTAGCATCTCCCTATACCTAGGCAAGCATCCTCTATAAAGAGTGGAGAGTAGTGATTCATTGTTGAATCCATGGTGTGGGCACTGACTTGTGTAGCCTTTGAACCTCTCCCAAGCCTCTGCGAATGTCTCATTGTTTCGCTGGATGAAGCTGGATATCTCTCCTCTAAGCTTGGCTGTGCGACCGGTGGAGAAAAACTTAGCAAGAAAGGCCTTCTTGCATTCATCCCAAGTGGTGATTGTGCCATGGGGCAAGCTCTTCTCCCATTGGTGAGCTTTGTCAGCTAGAGACATAGGAAAGAGTCTCAGCTTGATGGCATCTTCAGAGACACCATTGATCTTTGTCAAATCACAAAGCCTATCAAACTCATCAAGGTGGTCAATGGGGTCTTCACTTGGCAATCCATGGAACATCTTGTTCTGAACAAGGTTGATCATTCCCAGCTTGATCTCAAAGTTGTGGTTCTGCACTGGTGGTGGAACAATCCCTTGTCTCTGTTGGTGGCGGTTTGGAGCATCTCCTTGACCAATCGGTCGAGTTTGCCTAGCTCGACCGAGTCCATTGCCCAAAGGGTTTCCATTCCCCTCTGGTACATCCATTGTATCAGCAACAAGCACCTCAGGTTCCTCTTGTACCCTCTGTGACCTCTGAACCCTCTTTCTACCCGTTGTAAGTCTAGCTCGACCAAGTCCTCTGTAGACCGACTCGATCGAGTTCGCATACACCTGCAAAAAGAGACAAAAACCCAGCAGTACAATAGAACAGGGGTGGTATAGCTTGATCGTCCAAGTATGTTTGAAACTCAAATGCAACAAAATATTCCCAAATCGGCAACGGCGCCAAATTGATGATAGGATTTTGTGTGGATGTGAAATGATATGAAATGAGATGGTGGAATGCAACAGTGGTAAATGATGAGGTGGTAAGATGCAAACACAAACACAGTCAACAATTCCCTTTAACCATCATAGTTGATGTAGTAAAGGTTATCAATCCAAAATGGGAAACTTGTCACTCTATGAGAATATGAAACAACCAGAAAGTCAAGCAAGCAGTAGATTTGAAGTAACACTAACAACCTAAATGAAACAGAAATGAAATGCAAAGTAAATAAAGCAGTAGAGCAACAGCTCGACCAAGGACTCGAGTCGAGTTGGAACAGAGTACCAGCTCGATCGAGTTTAGGGTCGAGTTGAAAAAAAGCTAAAGGCACGACTTTAACAAGCTAATGAGAGAATTAGGGTTCTAAGACAGGGTTTTGCAATCAGAGGAAGGCTACACTTAATCAATCTTGCTCTTAAAACTCCTTGTATCAAGGCTTCTCTTGATATTGAGCTTCTCAATGCCTAGCTAACCCTTTCCCAAGGTGAAAGCTATCAACCAAGGATGATCTCAGAAACAGGGGGTTAGCCAGTGAGAATCAAGCCTTGGAGGCCATAGGATCATTGCCAAACTAATCCATCCAACCCCTTAGACCTCTATTTTCTAGAGCAAGAGATATTGGAGCAGAACCACAACTTTGAGATCAAGCTGGGAATGATCAACCTTGTCCAGAACAAGATGTTCCATGGATTGCCAAGTGAAGACCCCATTGACCACCTTGATGAGTTTGATAGGCTTTGTGATTTGACAAAGATCAATGGTGTCTCTGAAGATGCCATCAAGCTGAGACTCTTTCCTATGTCTCTAGCTGACAAAGCTCACCAATGGGAGAAGAGCTTGCCCCATGGCACAATCACCACTTGGGATGAATGCAAGAAGGCCTTTCTTGCTAAGTTTTTCTCCACCGGTCGCACAGCCAAGCTTAGAGGAGAGATATCCAGCTTCATCCAGCGAAACAATGAGACATTCGCAGAGGCTTGGGAGAGGTTCAAAGGCTACACAAGTCAGTGCCCACACCATGGATTCAACAATGAATCACTACTCTCCACTCTTTATAGAGGATGCTTGCCTAGGTATAGGGAGATGCTAGACACAGCTAGCAATGGGAACTTCCTCAACCAGGATGTAGATGATGGCTGGCAACTTGTGGAGAACATAGCTAACTCAAATGGAAGCTATGGAGAAGAGTATGATCGCACCAACCGGAGCTCGACCCACCACTCGATCGAGTCAGACGAAAAGTTGAGAAAAGATGTTAAGGCATTGAATGAGAAGTTGGATAAGCTGATCCTAGCTCAGTCCACAATGAAGAAAGTCAACTTTGTGTCTGCTGAGGAGATGGAACCAGTCCAAGAAGGGGAGGATACACAATTTGCTGAGGTGTGCTACATGAGCAATGGGCAAGGAGGTTACAACAAAGGATACTATAATTACAAGTCCAACCCTGCCATGTCATACCGCAACACTGATGTTGCTAACCCTCAGGACCAAGTCTATCCTCAACAACAAGCAGCTCGATCGAGTCAAGGTGCCACAACATGGGTATGGTCAAAAGAACAATTACCAAGGACCACAAGGCACTTTCCCTGGACAACAAATGAATATCCCACCAGGCTTCCCCCACCAACCACCCCAGCCTGCACCTTCACAAGAGAATGAGCTCAAGGCAATGCTAAAGCAACTACTTCAAGGGCAAGCTGATGGGGTAGTGGACACAAGCAAGAAGCTAGCTGAAATAAACTCAAGATCGAGAACCTCAACACAAGGGTTTACTCTCTGGAGAATCATGCTTCTTCTGTTGCTGCTGCTACAAAGCAAGGACAACTACCTGGTAAAGCTATTCAGAACCCCAAGGAACAGTGCAAGGTCATCTTCACTCAAGAAGGACTTGTTGAAGAAGAGGATCAAGAAAGGGTCATTGAAGATTTTTGTTTACTGCTGAATGATGAAGAGATTGTTGCTGCTGAGGCTCCTGGAGTCCAGATTGATCAACCAGAAGTGCAGGCACCTACTGTGGCCATTCACACTTCACCAGTTGAGCTCGCACAACAAGCTCGATCGGCAGCTCGATCGAGTCCGACCTCTTCTGTCCGAAGCCTGTTTTGCTTGATCCTTACCAACCGGTTGCCGCTTCCTCGTCTCGCCTACTTAGTCAAGGTCACAAGGAAGTGATTCACAAGTTCAGAAGAGATCTCAGTGGGATTGGAATTGAGTTGCCTCCTATGGATAGCATGAGTGAGGCATTTGATCAAATGCAAATGGTCAAGGATGTTCTAGCCAACAGTGATAAAGTTTCAGAGGTCCTACAAGAGTCTACTCATCAGTTCAACCTGCTTACTTCACCCACCTTCCTACCAAAGGTCAAGGATCAAGGGAAATTCACTCTCCCTTGCACACTTGGGCATCTTGAGATTGACAATGCCTTAGTGGATTCTGGAGCAAGCATCAATCTGATCTCTCTCTCCATGGCAGAGAAGCTAGGCATTGCTGGAGCCTTGCAGCGCCCTACTACTTCAATCATGTTTGGAGATGCAACTTCTAAGTCTCCTCTTGGAGTGTTCAAGAACTATCACTTGAAAATTGGAGAATGCATCATCCAAACTGATCTCACTGTGATGGAAATGGAAGAAGAGAAGGATTTACCTCTGTTATTGGGAACCCCTTTCCTTAGTACAGTTGGCGCTTCAATAGACTTTCACAAGCAAGAAGTGATCCTTCACAAGGTGAATAGTTTGGTGTCATATCGCTTGCAGCCTAGAGGTTCAGACTTTTGTGCCACAATTGACAGTACCAATCTCAGTTCTAAGAGTCATGGAGCTACAAAGGTTGTGAAGGAAAGGGTTGACAAGGAACCAAGAGTTGGGAAGGATAAGGATGAGAGAGGACCAAGGATTGAGAAGCCACGTCTTGAGAGGGCTAGAGTTGAGAAACCACGATCTGATAGGCCAAGAGCTGAGACTTGTTCAAGCCCCTTGTGTGCTTGATGAAGAGAGCCTTCAAGCTTTGTTTGATGAGCCACTAGGAAGGGCTCTAAAAGAAGGGGAGGATGCAGCCTCTAAGGCAAGACCAGGTGATAAAAGAAAGGATCCACCAGCTCAGGCCCCTTCAGTCAAGCCATCTCAGCTCACAATGACTTTGTTCCCCACCAAGTTTGAAAATGGGAAGATTGAGTACAAGATAAGGTACAAGGGGAGATCAAGGCCATTCTCTAGAGCCAAGGCCTTGGTGACTTCAGAACAGTCCAGGGACCCAACCAAGCTAAAGGAGCTTCTGTCTCAAGTCCTCACTATCACCCTTGATGGTGGGACTAGCTCAACCAATGCCTAAAAGGTAAAGGTCAAGCTATGGGACCTTAAACAAGCTCACTTGGGAGGAAGTCCCATGTTTATCCTTGTACATATTCTATTTATGCAATTTCTATCTATTTTGTGTTTTAACCTTTCAATAAGTTAAGTTTAGGTGTCAAGGAGCCAGCTCGACCGACAGCTCGATCGAGCTAGAAACCAGGGCAACTCGATCGAGTTCCTCAACTCGACCGAGGTAAGTTTTTGAATTTCAAATTCATAACCGTTTTCTTGGTCAAGGGAGTGGGTCCCACAAGCTGATTTTGGTCCCCCACTACCCTAATTGATCAGAAATCCCTAGCTTCTTGTTCCCTCTTTATTTCATCTTTTAATCTCAACCACACATCTCAAACACCCTCTTCCCCATAACTCGATCGAATCCACCTTCTCCACTCTCCCACACTCTTAAATTTCTGAAACTCATCTCTCTCTCTCTTCACCACAAGAAAAATCGATTTTCAATCTTTCTCTCTTAAGTTTTTGCGATTTCCTCTTGTTCTTCATTGTTTTGCTTGGGTTTTAGTTTACTGTTCTTCAATTCATCATTCAAGCAAGGTATGAACCCTTAAAACCCTTGATTCTTCATCTCGATTTCCATTATTGCTTGTTTCCTCTTTGATTTTTGATTGCATGTGTCCCTTGTGGACTTGTTCTTGAGTAATTGCTTTATTTTCCTCTGCTTGTATATCTTGAATTTGCCTCACCTCACCTCTGTTTTCCTTTAAACTTGTTGCATGTGCTTGAAAATTGAATTTGAGTTTGGTATTGGTTAAGATGCTTTGTTTCACTAGAATTGCTCATTGTTCCATTTACTAGTTGTTCTTGGTTCAATTTGATTGATTAGCATCCTTTCCAGCTCTTAATACTTGAATTAGGTTTGGTTATACTCTGTTTTCACCCAGCTCGATCGAGTTTGTCACTCGAGTTTTTTGACTCGATCGAGCTGAGTGTCGAGTTGACCAAACCGATCATTACAACTCTAATTCTTTGATTTTGATGCATTTCAGGAACCAATTCAAGATGTTGAGAGGTGAGGGAAGCAAGCAGCTGTACAGGAAGCAAAAGGAGAAAAGCAAGGAGAATGAGAGAGAGGATGTCAAGATGAAGGGGATAGACAAGGGAAGAGAGGAACCAGAGATGGAAGAATCTGATGCAGGGGATGTGTCTCTCTGAAGGAGCAGTCTGAAGTGAGAGGTTGAGGGAAGAAAGGAGAACCAAGAAGAGGAATGACCCATTAGTAGTGAGAGTGAGCAAGGGGAGTTTGAGATTGGAGTGAACCTTGTTCAAGAGGGGGATGGCTCTCCAACAAGGAGAAGAGGTGAACCAATTGGTTGAGAAGATGAGCAAGAGGGAACCAAGATGAGCCATGGAAGAGGCTGAGAGAGCAAGAGGAGGATGAGCTCCCCATGTACCAAGAGCACTATGATGCTCTCTTCTCCATGGACTTTGTGGAGACCAAGTACCCACATGATGACACATGAGGCCCTTGGATCTTTGAGGATGTGGAGTTGGTCTCAAGAACATGCATTGGCCAAGTTCTTCTCTCACATGGAGTCTACAAGGAGCTCACTTGTGAGTTTTGGCTTCAATGAGGTACCACATTTGATGAGCTCGATCGAGCTGAGTTGGACCAAGGATTGGGGGATCACGTTCTTGGCTAAGGGAGAGAAGAAGATGGTGACCTTTAGGCAGCTTGGAGATCTTGTTTGGGTTCACTATGGAGAGGAACCAAGTGGAACATCAAGGAAAGGAACTCCAAAGGGTTTGGGCTACAATCGCTGAGGGGTACTCTTCCTCAAGGTCCAAGGCTGCTCAGATCAGGAGCCCAGTGCTTGAGATATGTGCACAAGGCTCTTGCCAACACCTTCTTTGCAAGGAAGGCCACTGGACAATCAATGAGGGAGAAGTGAAGCTCCTTGACATGGGAATCAAGCCTATCATCTCACGCACAAGGATGGGAAGAAGATCAGAGGAGATAGGGCACACGCAGGGAACTCATGCCCTCCTTGAGCAGCTCTCCTACAAGTCACAGCTTACAACACTAGGCACCAAGAGGAAGAAAGCTTAGTGTTGGAGGGTCATCACACCTATCTTTGTGCAGCTGGAGTCAACTGGACAAGAGAAGTCACTGAACCAGGTTGGATGGACATCAAGTTTTGCAAGACCAACCTCTCATTGAGCACAAGGAGTTGGATGGGAGATTCCAATTCAAGTTCACCATCCATTGGCTGGCCCTCCAAGCTTCTCCTGCCCAACCCAGAGCTCACCACAGTTGTAGAGGTGAGAACATTGATTTCAGACCCCCTGTGTACACATTAGTTGGGCATGAAGGGATTTGCGAGAAGAGGAGCCGAGCTCGATCGAGCTGAGGATCGAGCTGAGTCTCAAGCTGAGGATCAGATCCAGGAAGTGCGGATTTGGGTGAGCCTGAGTGCTATTACTTTGAGGAGTATGAGGCTCCAAGGATGAACCCCTCTGTTGTGGCTGCCCACAAGAGGATTGGACTTCTCCAAAGGTTCAACAAGTGGCAAGGGAAAGCCATGGAAAGATGCAAAAGTCCATGGACAAGATGGTGAGCAAGATCAAGAGTTTGGAGAAGAAAGTTTCTGGTTCTTCAAGCAAGAAGAAGTCCAAGGCCCCACTTTCCCTAGGAGTAGATCACTCCTCACCACTCAAAGGAGGCTCCCTGCCCAAGAGCCTCACAGAGCCTCTTCTTTCGAGCCAAGGGAAGGAGAAGACAACTCCCAGCAGAGAAGGAGGAAGACTCCAAGGCCAGACGCTCCAGCTCGACCACCGGACTCGATCGAGTCCAAACAGAGGAAACTCAACTCGATCGAGCTGAGGGTCGAGTTGACCTGGAGGAGCCCCTGTTTGAGAACCCCGGATTCGAGTACGATCCACCCGTACCAGGACTTCTCTCAGACCGCTGGACTCCCTACAACCGCTTCGAGCGAGCACAAGCTCCACCAAGGCCAAGGAAGCCACACCCACTTTGAAGATGAAGAAGAAGAGGAAGAAGAGGAGCCACAAGCTCGATCGAGTGAGCCGAACCCAGTTGAGTGGAGTGCTCCTGATGGCCGTCTACCCATCTCCAGACCACGACCTAGCCTCCCAGTTCTTTGGGGGGCACTGAGGTATCCAAACACCAACCCTTGTATATACCATTTCATATTTTCTTGCATTTGTTCTTGTTTTTCTTGGTTTTGCCCTCTTGAATCTTTCACTAAATTTTTCTCACACAAGGGACTGTGTGATTTAAGTTTGGGGGAGGGTTCAAGAGATGATTTAACCTTGTTTTCTTTGTTCTTAGTTTTTCATTTATCTTTTGCATAGAAAAACCAAAAAAATCATAAAATTTTCAAAAAATCCAAAAATATTTTCATCTTTTTGCATTCATATTTGTTAGACTTGTTTAGGATTGCATTTTTCACTTGCATTGTTGATTTGACTTTGAAAACTTGTCCATCTTTTGCGATTTCTTGAGTGCCCTGTTTTTAGATTCTTTTGTGCATTAGGGTGAGATTGATTGAGCAGCAAGAACCATGTTTATCTTGATCATATCACTGCATGCACATCTCATTCAACCATTGCTGTGATTTGATGCATTTCCCTATCTATTTGAACCATAACTTGATCTTTAATTACCAATGCTTGCATTTGATTTCAACTCATGGCTACCACATACATATCTGGACATTCTTTACCATTTTCATATCCCTTTTGCTTGTCCAGATAGCTGATCTCTATCTTTGAGACAGTTACCACACCTTAAACCTAAGCCTTTTTCATTTCAAACCCCATATTATCTCTTGTGCGAATGTGAGAACCTTTCTTGGCTTTGCTTAGCATAAGGTGTTGTGTTTAAACCGGCAGTGTGATACCCCGTATCAAGACCTAAAACATCCCAAAGGCCGGGATGGGAAGATCAACACTCTGGGATTGGAAGACAAAGACGTTGGATCTAATCCAGAGATCACAACGAAGACTTGGATCAAGACAGGATCAAGAACAATCGAGCAGAAGTGAAGATACAGCAAGATTGTCCAGGTGGGACGATCATTGTACGAACATGGGAAGAGTCAACAGGACGACGAAATATCAAAGTTCTCCAAATCAAGAAGAGAAGAGTTTGGACGACATAAGAGACCATTCTAAGAAGTTTGGTCGAAGCAGAATGCAAATCGGACGAGCAGATTGAGAGATGGGACGGACGGCCAAGATCTATCCCTCAACGACTGCAAGAAGCGTAAATGTTCGGGATGGAGGTATTCTGCACATTTCCAAGCAACTACGTGGAAGCTCAGAAACATGGAAATGAGAGAAGGATCACAATAGGAGATTTTAATTCTCAAGCACGACGGGGACGAAACCCTCTAGACAGGGAAACGTACGAAACCCTCTGGACGAGGAAACGTACATTTGGAGCAATCTTGTTCTAAGCCAACCAAGTGGTGACACCAGATACTTGGAGAAGATAAGGATGATCATAACCATTATGGAGAAGACATGCAGCTACTACAATGGAGCCAAAACCATTCAGCCATTCATGTAGAGACATTGATCTATTGGAATGGGACGAAATTGTGTTGGACCAATCGATCATGCATGTTCTTGTTTGATTGTTGCATGGTCAGTATAGAGGTTATGGTAACATTGTGCAATGTGGTAAGCCATGTTTGAGGTGTCTATGGGTGTTGATCATCCATAGAATAGATGGATGTGGATCATCCATGGGATAGATTGTGTTGAATAGGAACCCTAATGTTTGCTTTGTGGTGATAGCTTGAAGTCATGAGTGACTGGTTTGTGGATGATGAGGGGTCGTGGTTTAGTACTGGGCAAGTGTGGACAGCTGAGTCTGGATCGTCGAGCTCAGAACCGTCGAGCAATTCGGAGCACTGGATCGTAGTGACGGACTTGGAACAGCAGACACTAACAGATCATGATAGCAGCAGTGATTGGGACGAGGACGTATATCTTATGCCGAGAGACAACGTGCAGCCCAGCACAATGGTGAATGAGTATGGCGAACACATGACTTGGCCAGTACATTACCCTGAGGAGGAGAGAGTAGTGCCATCTACTCAGATCATAGAGATCAGTTCAGGCGAGACTACACCAAACTCTTGGGATAGAGATAGTCCACCAAGTGTTCTACCGCATATACCAATGCCGCATGTATTTGCACCGGGAGGTGGAGTATACCCGTACATGCCAACGGAGGAGAATCCAACGGACTACGTGTACCCGTTCATTACCACTGGGTGTAGAAAGCAATGATCCAGCCGTTGCAGTTCAAGTCAATAGTGAAGTCTTCACAAACCAACCTGAAGAACCGGATACGCCGGAACCAACATGGGAGGATTATCTTGGACACCAGAACGTATCACCCACGTACTGGACAAGGAAACTCAACGAGATCGCTGGATACACATCATCAATGGAGCATGGAGAAGGAAGCATACCTCAAGATCAAGGAGAAGCTAATGCAATGTGGTGTACAATGTATGGAGAACAAGATGCACCAAACTCGGTGGCAGGCAATGAATATCAAATACCGGATCTTAACCAAACCACGGAGGAAGGTACCGGAGAGAATGAATGGCCACAAGATGATGAAGGTCTTAACTTAGCAAGAAGGTGGGACGAGATAATCGCCACAGAATTGGAGAATCTCAGAACAGAGGGTAATGGCCAAGAGCAAACTGTGTCACGCCAAAGGGGAAGGCCTCCCAGAAGACTCGCGAGGATGAGAGTCCCAGCACCGTCTCAAGTCACGCTACCATGCGATCAATGTGGAAGGACGGGACATCATAGCCGAGCATGTCCCAATGTGCGAGCTAGATCAAGGATGAATGAAAGGCAGAACATTTGCCTTACTTGTGGAGAGAAAGGCCATTTCTCAGCAGACTGTCCAAGGAACTGCCCCAGTACTAGTCAACCCACCCGCTCAACCACAAGGAGAGAGAGGCGACCAGGGAGTGGAAGCCGTAGAATGTAAGATAGAGTTTAGGAACCCTAAACCACATGCCGAGAAAAGGTATTTTTCGGGTTCTAACTCAATCTTTGAATGGTTTATTTTCTTGCTTGCTTGGTATAGTAAGTAGGATTGTTTAGTGGTTTAAGTTGAGTTTGGTAGAGACATCGTTTAGGAAACCCATGTTTTGGGAAACGATGTGGTGAAAGGAGATTCCGATGTTTCTATTTCCAGGGGGAAATGAAACTAGAGCGGATATCCTTGGAACCAAGTGGTTCTGGTAAAGTAGTTTTGGGTATTAGCACATCGAGTGGAACCCTTAAAGGGAAGCGATGTGTTAATAGAAGGAAATTCCGTGAATGCTGTTTCCAAGAGGGAAATAAAGCTAGGACGGAAAATCCTTGAGTAAGAGGTTAGGTGGTTAGCGAAGTTAGGAGAACCTCGCTAGAGTGGTCAGACCGGGATCAAGACCAACAGGGAAGTGTTGGTTAAGGTACGGTTTTGACATTAGATAACCCATAGTTAAAGCCGGGATGGATGGTTATGGGAATGGAGATTTGAGCAAGGAGGATCAGAGGAGATCAGTGGAAGAGGAGTCTGCAAGGGGACAACGTGAAGACAGAGTAAGAGGAGTCTGCAAGGGGACAACGTGAAGACAGAGTAAGAGGAGGCAAGGCATCTTCAAAGATGGGAGAGACACCGGAACAATGGAACGTTCCTACTCTCTACAACTGGAATTCGGGGACGAATTCTATTAAGGGGGGGGAGAATGTGATACCCCGTATCAAGACCTAAAACATCCCAAAGGCCGGGATGGGAAGATCAACACTCTGGGATTGGAAGACAAAGACGTGGGATCTAATCCAGAGATCACAACGAAGACTTGGATCAAGACAGGATCAAGAACGATCGAGCAGAAGTGAAGATACAGCAAGATTGTCCAGGTGGGACGATCATTGTACGAACATGGGAAGAGTCAACAGGACGACGAAATATCAAAGTTCTCCAAATCAAGAAGAGAAGAGTTTGGACGACATAAGAGACCATTCTAAGAAGTTTGGTCGAAGCAGAATGCAAATCGGACGAGCAGATTGAGAGATGGGACGGACGCCCAAGATCTATCCCGCAACGACTGCAAGAACGTAAATGTTCGGGATGGAGGTATTCCGCACATTTCCAAGCAACTATGTGGAAGCTCAGAAACATGGAAATGAGAGAAGGATTAAAATAGGAGATTTTAATTCTCAAGCACGACGGGGACGAAACCCTCCAGACAGGGAAACGTACGAAACCCTCTGGACGAGGAAACGTACATTGGAGCAATCTTGTTCTAAGCCAATCAAGTGGTGACACCAGCTACTTGGAGAAGATAAGGATGATCATAACCAATATGGAGAAGACATGCAGCTACTACAATGGAGCCAAAACCATTCAGCCAATCAAGTAGAGACATTGAGCTATTGGAATGGGACGAAATTGTGTTGGACCAATCGTGCGTCAACACTACCTGCTAGGAGAGAGTGAGCCGTGGATAAGCATTCTTATTGGATGATCTTATCCAGAAATGGACGAATCAAATGGAGATACACAGCAGCTTCTAAGACGGGCCAATCATGTAGCAACATCCAGCTACTGAATGAAGACGAAGCAAGCCTAAACCAATTGGGCAACGACACCAGCTGCTATGGAGGAGAGAGGGCGTGGATAAACTCCAAGAAGACCTAATGCTATCAGGGAGAGACACCCAGCTGCTCATGAGAGACAAGAATTGTCCAAACCAATCAGACGGAGACACAGAAGTGCTCAATGGAGACGAAATGGACTTGGACGAATCAGGATGCAACACCAACCACTGAGAGAGAGGAGAAGCTTCAGGAGTGGATGAGAAGCAAGTGGAGAGATGCAGAAACGGATTGGATCAAGAGCTGACCAATCAGACAGAAGCACCCAGCATCTTAATGGATAAGATGAGTTATAACCAATCGGACGATCACACCACATGCTTGGGGGAAGTCGGCTCATTGGATGAGCATTGAGAGGGGATAGGAATGACGTGTGTCATGTCCTGAGACGCCCTAGAGGCCACCAATCAAAGCTACCTAGCCTAGACCGCCTGGATGTCGCGTTCTGAGGCAGTGTAGGTTGCCACCAAGCAAAGCTATGCTAGGCCTAGGTCTCCATGTGTCTGCGCATGACTGGAGACGTCCCAAGAAGCCAGGCAGCCTCCTGAACTCCTATAAATACGCTCCTCCAGCCCCAAGTCCAAACCATTCCATTCCCAAAGCTAGAGAGCACCTGAAAAGTGATTAGAGAGTAATTAAGAAAGTTTTCTTAATTAAGTGAGGTTAGTGGAAGATTAGAGTAGGTCAAGATCAAAGCTTAAGGAAAGCTAGGAGGATCTTGAAGTCTTCTTAAAGTGGTGAGTCTTGGTGTTATAGTTTTAGTCTTTTGGATCTTTGTTTGTGTATGCAGGTTGTATGAACACCAAAGCATGGGAGATGCTTTCTGTTCATATTGGTTATTGGTTCTGTAGTATAACTCTCTAAACAATAAGGTTTAGTAAAAATTGTGGAGAGTTATGCTGCAGAAATTTATATAATGTGTTGTGAGGTTGTGATGGTAATCTTCTAGGAGAGAAGTTATGCCGTCAGATCTCTTGTGTGTTTATATGCAGGTTTGCATTGTTGTGAGGTTGTGATGGGTAATCTTCTAGGGAGAGAAGTTATGCCGTCAAATCTCTTGTGTTGTGAGGTTGTGTCGGGTAACCTTCGGGGAAGGTTAGGCCGCCAGATCTCTTTTGTGTGTGAGGTTGTGTTGGGTAACCTTCGGGAAGGATATGCCAACAGATCTCTTTTCTGTGTAAGATTGTGATGGGTAACCTTCGGGGAAGGTTATGCCATCAGATCTTGTTAGTGTAGATGCATATCTATACATTAGGTGATGTGAGATTGTGGATGGCTATGCCGCCAAATCTCATAGATGCATCGGTTGTGGGGTTATAGCATGGCTATGCCGCTAAACCTCGAGTGCATGCTAACATGGTGGTGCGTAAGGCCCATATGTTGAGTATGACTCCGATGTGGAAAGATCACGGACGGCTGAGCCGCCAGATCTTTCGAGGTTCGTGTGGGTACTCTTCCGAGGCAAGGGAAGCTCTGCCGCAGAACCGAGGGTATGAGGCATAGTGGTGCGTAAAGGCCCATATGCTAAGTACTGAGAACATGTGGCGTGTCTAACCACATGTTGTCTAGGAAGGTGTAGTCAAGCGCATTCTCGCACGTCAGAGCCCAACCGGATTGGCAGCGAGGAGGCTGTGCATGAAGGGAGGAAGACTCGGAGGATAACCTGGTCAGCTGCCTTGGCCGAGTATGGTACCATATGACGATATGGGATCCAACCAGACATTGGCATGGTGCGCCAGTAAGGCCAATAGATGGAAGGATGAACCGGGTACCGCGATGGACTGTAGTGCCCGGGTGAAGGCGTTCATCTAGTTTCTGTGTGATTCCGGATGAGCGTGAACCTTCACAGGCGTGGGC